AGAAACAAATGACAAAATGAAATGAAGTTCACATTCATCGATTTATTCCAAATGATCGTTAGACTAAGTAAGGCACAGACTGACCATTATAAGGGTAAAATGATACCCGGGGTCAAACAGCAAAGTTACCACAGCATCACAACCAAGTCAGTAACGGGTAAATCCTCCTCTGTTTGCCAAACAAGCATTGATCCGACGTGGCATACTCCTAATGAGACGTCTAAGGTCATTTTGGTCCAGATTGTCCCATTCCTGTTGCAACGCAGCAGCAAGTTCTTGGACATTGGCAGGACGTTGTTGACGTTGACGTAACCTCTGTCCAAGCATGTCCCAGACATGCTCGATGGGGGAGAGGTCGGGACTCAGTGCTGGCCATGGTAATGTGGTGATGTTCTGTTGTTGGAGGTAACCTGTAACGATCCTGGCCCTGTGACATCTTGCGTTGTCATCCTGGAAGATGAAACGGCGGCCATGACGTCGTGCGAACGGCACGACATGGACTGCCAAGATGTTGTCCCGGTAGTACTGGCCTGTAACACGCCCTGCAACAACATGTAAAGCTGTTCTTCCATAACAGAACCACCCCCAAATCGATCATGTCTGATGACGTTAACGTCTTGGAAGCGCTCGTTTCGACGACGCCACACCCTCCTACGTCTGTCCAAAAAATCAACAGTAAACCTTGACTCATCTGAAAACATCACATTGCTCCAGCGTCGATTATCCCAGTGTTGATGATCCCTACACCAACGACGTCTTGCCTGAATGTGATGATCTCTCAAACAAGGGATCACGCGAGGACGTCGGGTGCGAAGGTGACCCCTATGCAGTCGATTCCGAATCGTCTGGCCACTCACTCTCACACCAGTGTCTGTTTGAAGACGAGCGCTGATCTGATTTGCTGTGATGACACGATTTCTCAAGGCCAAGGTACGGATAAATCGATCCTGGGCTTGAGTTGTCGCCCTTGGTCGACCTGAGCGTGGTCTGTCCTGTACAGATTGTGTATCACGGTATCTAGACCATAGCCTGCTTATGACAGACTGAGAAACATTCATCGTCCGCGCCACAACCGCCTGTGTTGTGCCGATCTGTAACATGCCAAGGGCACGTAACCTTTCATTTTGGGTAAGCCGACGCATATCAAAATTTGTTTTCTGGTCACTAAAACAATTAAACTGATGTTTCCACCCTGGAATTCAATGCCACAATGACTGTAACATTCAAAGTCAGAGTCGTGCAAATCTTGGGTTGGACCCCCATGATGATCCCAAGCATCACCTGCATTCCATGCGGTAGCTATTGGTGCGTTTGGGCGTCACATGTAACTGGAAATGTTTCTTCTGTTAGGTTCTATAGTGACTTTTTTCGTAGTCATTTGCATATTTTAGTATTATGCCCCCAAAATCAAATATCCCCTACCTTTTTTGAATAGTATATATTACATACCTTAGTAATGTCAGTGGAGGCATCCCTTCGTCACTTCCAGTACGAAATCCTGAAATTAAAGAAAGGTATGTTTAAAATAACAGGAGCTTCAAGGACATGTGATCTTTAAAGGCATGATAAAGCATATAAACCAACAAACTAAAATTTATAGTATAAACAATAAATAGTACCGGTAGTTTTATGGCCATCTTTTCACATTACTTTCTATTGATTTCAGATCACCATCTGAACTATAGCTGATTTCTAGCTTTAATTTTTATCAGTACCCATGTCGTGCCACATTTATCTTATATTGTGTTGTACAGTGAAACCAAGTGCTGAATTAGCTTGTTAGCCTCCTAGTTTGTTTCTTTCTTTTGTCTATATTTTGGGGACATTTAAATTTTTGTTTAAAACACATTCCTGAAGGTCTGCACACACCAAAGAATAATTGTTAGTAATTTTCTACCTGCATTTCGTTGGTCCTAAAAATTCTTGGTCTGATCAGGGAGGATTGGCTCAGTAAGTAAGACGCTAACCTGGAGGTCCTGTGTTCAGAGGGCCTGGCATGGGACAATGTATAGTCGTTCGGATGGAACAAAAAACAAAGTTGGAATTTAAAATTAGAGTTGGCCATAGCACCGATCTCCGGGCAAAATTTCCCCCATAACACACTTTATGACATATGCCTGTCCGTATTCATTAGCCCAGTCGGAGCAGAACAGTAGGATGTTAAACCCCATTTCACTTCATATCAATTTCATAATAAATTATATTTTAGACATGGCACAACAAACATGTACATGTTTTAGTTTTGTGAACATTGCAGATAACAATAAAATGAGGTTTAACATCCCACTCTTCTTCACCAACGGTTGTGGACAACTTAAAGGAGCTATATCGCTAATATTTAGGACCTAGAAATTGACAAAAATGGGTCGCAACACATATAATAATGTAATCTGAATGTATATAAACTGATTTACATTCAATCGTTTGTTTTTACTCTAATTTCAAATCAGTTATGTTCGGCGAATTACGCCAGAAGTCTCATCTCTAGCATCTGGTTATTCAAGTCTATTGTGCATGCTCCCCAGTGTACTTCGAGTCCCTTGTTACAAATGGCAGTAAAACGCATCATAATTTATTGTACACGATTCCTGTACCAATGGTAAAATGTTTATTTTGTCTTAAATATTGGTTATCAGAAGCCCATCTTTTCCTGCTAAGATCGCAACATCAATATTGATTTAAATAGACAAATAATTTGTGTTTTCAATGTCTTAAACGAAGAATTTATATGCAACATTTTTTAGTTTATACTAGGCCTAAATCTATTTTCAATGATGTTAGCATTGTTGAAAATCTCAACGCCTTACATGACAAGTATGTCATTGTACCGGCTGACAAAGCGTCCAATAACTTAGTGTTTATATGTAAACGATATTATTATGACTGCCTGTTCAAAGAACTTAATTTCGGGAAATCAATCGACAGTGCTACGTATAAACGCTCTACGCTTAGTAAGGATGAAATTATATCCAATCACAGATCTGTACTCACTTCATTTGGTACTCCATGCGGAGATACCTATACAGATCTGCCCTTGTTATATTGGATACCTAAACTACATAAAAATCCCTACAAGCAACGTTTTATAGCAGGTTCATCCCGTTGTTCCACAAAACCACTTTCAAAAGTATTGACATCTATACTAACGGCAGTGAAAGAGGGTATTCAAAAATACTGTGACAAAATATACTTTCGTAGTGGTTTTAATCAAATGTGGATATTAAAAAATTCCAAAGAATTACTTGATGGTTTACAATCTAGATCACTTGCTTCAATCTCATCTATACAAATGTTTCACTTTTCTACTTTGTACACTAAAATTCCCCATAGTAAATTAAAAGCTCGGTTAAAAGACATTATTCACAGTGTCTTTTCATCTAAATCGGGAAATGTTAGATATCAATATTTAGTTGTTAATTACAATTCCACATATTTTGTTAAGAACCATAGTGATTCCAAAATAAATTCACCGCCAACAAGATAATTCAGATGTTGGATTTTTTAATTGATAATATCTTTGTTGAATTTGGAGGGGAAATTTATCAGCAAGTGGTAGGTATCCCCATGGGCACCAACTGTGCACCTTTGCTTGCTGATTTGTTTCTCTATTCCTACGAAGCCGATTACATACAGGCACTCGTAAAATCAAATAAACGATTAGTCAGACATTTTAATTTCACTTATCGATATATCGATGATGTTCTATCACTGAATAATCCAAAATTTAGTGATTATGTAGAATTCATATATCCTGATGAGCTCGAAATTAAAAACACTACTGACAGTGACAATTACGCTTCCTACTTGGATCTGCGTCTCGATTTTGACAATTGCCATAAACTTAGTGTTAAATTGTACGATATACGTGATGACTTTGACTTTCCGATTGTTAACTTTCCATTTATTAGTAGTAACATTCCAATATCACCAGCTTATGGAGTGTTTGTGTCTCAACTAATTCGTTACGCGAGAGCTTGTTCATTTTATTCTGATTTTTTAAGTAGATCGAGGCATTTGTCATCTAAGCCTTAACTACAAGGATACTTGCGAACTAAACTTATTAAAACCTTTAAAAAGTTTTATGGGCGTCATATTGACTTGATTGGTAAATATAACATGTCTCTCTCGGCTATTATTCTAGATATATTTAATTGACGCGTATACAATCTCCCTGATAATGTCTTGTCTTCTAACATTGTTAACACTGTTCATCACGTGCATTTTGCATACCGATAGTCCATTGGCCAATCATGCTATTTTACCGAGATTTCGCCTAATAGTTTGGATGCAGCTATGGCGCAAGACAGGGTAAGCTTACTCTTCCGGACACCTGTTACCACTGTTTATCGTGTATTTTGTACACGGTGAACAGTCCATATGCTGATTACACTATTTTGCTTTATTAGTATTACACTATTTTGCCTATACCGTTTTATTAGGACTTCGAATTTTGTCTAATGGTTTGGATTGTTCATTCTTGGTTTTATTTTATTGATATTGAGTTATCGACTTAGTAGCTACTTTAACTGTGGACGACGTAACTGGCACCCAATCCTTCTGCCGCCCGCAAGGAAAATCAGGATAGCTAGTCCGAACTTCAACATACATCATCCAATATTTAATGCAATAAATTAGGGGAAGGTAAAAGTATGACTTTAAAATTCAATAAAAACAGAAAAGTAAGACAAATAAAATGGGGGGGGGGGGATTTATTTTGAACTTAAATAAATTACCCAGGTATAGAACTGTCGGGATAAATCCCCACTGGAAGAGAAATCTAGTTGTATTCATCAACGACGACAGTCTTTGCTTCGTTTCTGAGCTAAATTTCACCATTTTAAAGTTTTGTGCCGTCAGAAAAATCTTTTGTAACGAATTTCCAGCATTGAAGGTCAAAAAGGCCCTACATGAACCGGAAGAAACACCATGAGCGCTGTCATTGGCCACAGGTAGTGAAGCTGTCCAATCAAAAGTTTCAGTTTAATTATCACGTGATGAAAACAAAGATGTCGGCTACCATGAAGCACGTGGATATAGAAATGATAGATGATGAGGAAGAAAAGCCCAAAGTTTGTCTTAGGGCTGGCCAGAGCATTGTTTCGGTCAAGCCCGTCTTTTCTCATGATGGAAAGTAAGAGATAGATAATACCCCCCCCCCCTCGATATATTTGTATTTATATATATTATTGCTAAAATTTTATGAAAATGAAATGTGAGAAATAGTGTTTAATTAAAATTAACGTTAGCAATGCAAAAGCTTTTTAAAATTTTTGAATGTGACTAAAATTGAATATTTACTAGTTTTCTAACCCCCTCTCATTTAAGAAACCCAAAACAATTTCAAAATCGATTAAGAAATAAGAATGTTATTCCACTTTTAGACCCAAAATTGATAAATGAAATGAAATGAAATGGGGTTTAACGTCCTACTGTTCTGCTCCTATACTGGGCTAATGAAGACGGGCATACGTCATACCGTGTGCTATGAGGGAAATTTTGCCCGGGCAGCGGCACTATCGCCTACTCTTATATCGAATTCCAACTGCCAGGGGATCTTTTACGTGCATTCCAATATATACACGGGACCTCGGTTTTTCGTTCCATCCGAACGACTAGACAGCTGTCCTTGTCAGGCCCTCCGTCCTGCATCACTGACAAGGGGGAACCACGCCGGAAAATCTGGATGAACTTTCTTGGCCAATGCAGGGATCGAACACCCGGCCTCCAGCCTAGCGAGCCAGCGCCTTTCCCACTAAGCCACGCGATCCCCCCCCAAAAAAATTGGTCGATGTCAGTATACATTTTTTTTTCTAAATTTGCAAAACAAGTGACCGAAGACAATTTCTCAGCAACCATTGAAGATATAGCCATCAAATTTTCAGGAAACACCCTTCCAACCATTAACTATTTATTGTAATTATTAAATTTGGGCTATATGATTTATTTCCTTTGATATACTGATATAGGATAGGGGTCTTTCTATGAGAAAATATGTCTACTTTCAGTGACTAGCACTGTTTTTGCCTTTTCCTTAAAAATTTATTTTTTCAAAATATAAGAAATAAGTCATTAATACGTTTCTGAATGTCCAAACCATGCTCAACACAAACTCTGTTTTCGTCTCAACACTTAAAGCGCAAAGTCATCGATGTTGGTGTTCATACAACTCCCCGAAGTCGCGGAACAAAAACGACACATTTTGCGGTCAGTTTTTTTTGACATTGGAAAATAGTATCAGTGGCTCCTCTAGTGAGCTTTTGCATTGCTGTTAACGTCCTCCACTCCTGGGGGGATCACGGTTGCTAAGTGGGTAAGACGTTGGCTTGCTAGCCTGGAGGTTGGGTGTTCAATCCCTGCATTGGCCGAGAAAGTTCATCCAGATTTTCCGGCATGGTTCCCCCTTATCGGTGATTCAAGACGAAGGGCCTGACAAGGACAGCTGTCTAGTCTTTCGGATTGAACAAAAAACCAAGGTCCCGTAGGTCCCGTGTATACATTGGCATGCACGTTAAAGATCCTTGACAGTTGGAATTCGGTAGGCCATGGTGCCGCTGTCCGGGCAAAATTTCCCTCATAGCACAATGTATGGCATATGCCCGTCTCCATTAGCACAGTTGGGAGCAAAACAGTAGGACGTTAAACTCCCATTTCATTTCATTTCATTTCCTCTGCTCTTCAACCTCAGACTTCGTTTCTGCACCAATTGAATAACGTTGAATTCCAACTGTCCAAGGTTGCCCTGTACGTGCACACTAATGTGTACATGAATCTCTTTTTGTTTTGGATAGTTGGAATTATTGGACTTTCTTTGCCAGGGTCTCTGCCATGCATCACAGACTTACGGCATGTAGGCTGCATTCCATGGGCACAAATTGTCGTTGCAAAAATATTTTCGTTCCTACAAATCCGGTCTAGAAGAAATTTTGTCAGTGTATAGTTCATATAGAGATATTCGTTTGTTGTAATGTTCCCCAAAAAATTCCATAGTTCTTCGGTGATATTCTTCGTTGAAATCCGGACTATTTATTGATAGTAAAATTCATAGTGCGCGAGGTCACTGGACAGAATTCAGCGTTGTTCGCCGCGTCACGTGATCGTTTTTTCCACAATTGACCAATCACGTTATTGTCTACATTCGCGTGTGTTGTTGGTAAACACAAAATGGCGTGCTTCACGAGGAACACATTGCAGTTATACATGTAGAAGCTACACTAAATGGCGACAAAGGCTCAATTAACTTGTATTGTTCACTTAGACAGTGTTAATAAGGGAAGTGCAGAACCCTTTACAAACACAAGGTGGGATAAATGTCGTGAGGTAGCTATAGACTGGTTTCATTTGGATGGAAATGACCAATCCATTGCAGCATTTTTCGATACAAATGCCAATGGATATTTTATTACGAAGGATATTATATTGTAGATACAGTCGGCAGTCGTTTTGGATTTCATCCAACGTTTTATAGATGTTTTAAGAACAAAACAGTTAAATGATGAAAGAAAGAGAGTGACTCAGTGATAAGGCAGCGTCTACATTCAGTCCAACCAAAACTAAACTGTCACGACATACATACAGACTATTAGTATTAGTATTACTGTGATGTGGTCATAATATATTTTACCAAACATTATTTAACAACTTACTATTAGTATATTAATCATTCGACAAAAATAGCAATTCACTCATAACATAATATTTTAAACACGGTTTCACCAAACCTTCAACAAGATATGACCACTTCTATTCCAACTAGTAGAAGTAATAAATAAATGTAATAAATAAAGGTGCATCTGATATATAGGCTACAGACCATAAGTCCAGAAAAATTTGTGAATGAAAGAATTGAATATAACCATCCAAGTCAACCCAGAACATTGCATGCTGTGATTCAAAGGAAAGAGGGGAATTATACTAATTAATCAAAGTTTTTGATAATCCCTAATTAAGTCTTTCACACCCCATTAATGTCCAGTCGACACGGTTCCTTTTTATTTAAATAATTTGCTTGCATGTAGTGGTCTGTAGCAGAGGAAGGAAACTGGGGGACTCGGAGAAAACTCACAAGGTTGAACAAGTGACCCTAGTCCTTGTCACGTACAAGCAGAGAATTGAAATTAAGTCATTGACGCAATGACAGACCTTATGATTTCATGTGTACATGTTAAACCATTCGCCACCCACCCTCCATATTAAATAGATGTCTTTGTAAATTATGTATGTTATAGTTATACAGTGTATTAAGTATTAAATGTCTACAGTGTTTTTAAATTTATGTATTAAAGAAATGTATATGAAAATATTATCTATTAAGAAATATTGGTATTTATATTATGCAATATTTATATTAATAAATATCATTTGATACATAATATATCAAAATTCAAATGTTCTTTTTGGCCATTATGACCCTAATGTTTTGACCGTTATATAGTTTTGACCAAAATGTTTGACCGTTATGACCAAATACTTGAGCCAGTTTGGTTTAGGGCCTTTATGTCCATAACCCCTACTACTAGGCCTACTAGGCCTAGTACTTCAACAAATTTATAAACTAAAAGTGTGTCTCATTCACCCCTACTCCTTCATTAATATCACCAAAGGAATCACATCATGGTGCAGTACTTGTTACTACTTCATCAGAGTTAAAGAAGTCAGTTTTATCAGAGAGCTGTATAATTTACAAGAAAAAATCCAAGTATGTTCGAGCGGGGGCCATACAAAAGAGGGACAATTTAGTCCAGTGCGAAATAAAAACAGCATTTTTATTATTTTATTTAAAGCACCAATAACACTTTTGCTGTTTTGATAAGTCCAGTGAAACAAATACCGGTAGCCTTATTCTAACTACTAAATGAGTTAGTGTCTTACTCTTAGTGTAAATCCTCCATTAAATTGTATTTTATTTATCTTAGGTGATCAAAAATATTTTTCAAATCAAAAGTAATTAGTTTTGGATTTGATCGACTACATGTACAGTATCTGTTATAATTGTTTAAAAAAATCAGAATATTTATTAATCAGAAGCAAGATTCCAACATTGAAAGTGTGTTTGGCACTTTTATCGATGATTACATGTAAACTATGTCGTAGGTGAGCCCCATATTGATGGGGGGGCGGGGGCATCTGGTTCATTCGCAATTGCAGACAAAACCCATTTTGAATTCATATATCTATTGTAAGCTTATACATTGTAGATGCAAAATTTTTATTTTGTCCATATGGGCTTTTCCCTGACAATTCTGAGCTAGTTCAAATTATTTAAGCATTTCTTCTTAATATTTCTGAAACTTTTTAAGTTTTCAACCTTTATTTCAAAATATGTTTTTTCATTCTTAATCTTAGCTATACACTAGCCTATCCATGATCATTATCAAGACAGCGGGCTAGACAGGTTTTAAGTATTTTGTTATGTAAAATGAATGATTTTATTAGAATTACACTTATAGAAGCAGTGACCTTGTTGCATTCTCTGTAATCTCCCTTGATATTAAGGCATTTTTCTAGTGAAATAGACCGGTCCAATATCCTTAACCAGTGTCGAAAAAACCTGACTGACTGCCACATTTTATGTCAGTGTGATCAAAATACCTTTTGTGGCTCTCATACACCACTTCTCTACACGGATGGGACGTTTTTGGGGTTCATTTGATCTCTGTTCGTCCCAACCGCGAGCGATTTGCAAGGTAAATCGTTCGCATGGCTTTGTTTACAAATGCTATGACCTGGCACTTGACCCCAGAATTTTTGACCGCAACCCCACAAGCGAGACCGCTGATTGGCCAAATTTTAAATAGATGCGCAGGATCCAACTCACATCTACGCAAATATGGCTCCGCACTATAAAGAAATAAGTCATCGATTTATAGCCTATTTCGAGCTTGAACTATTAAATTGGCAGATTTAATTGGAGAACTTTGTTGACATATTGATTGCACGATTATTGATAGTCCGATTTGTAGACCGGTTTAGCGGGAGCGAAGGTAACAAGATTTTCACCCCAAGAATACGGCCTAATGCTGAGGAACTTTCTCTGCCAATTATTGCATAGGATGTGGATAGAACCAGGGACCTGGTCTGACCCTTTTCCTTTAGATCTTAAGGCCTGTCTCTGGGCTATGTCGATGTGATGTCAATCCAAGCAGTCGCTAGAAATTGTTCCACTACTGATGTCTTCTGTCTTGCTGCAGCCACAGACAGTAGTGGACCGTCCTAACTCCACCTTTTGAGCAGGTTTTGTAGTCATTTGACTACAAAAACGTTACTGGTCCATAACTCCCTTAATTTCCAATTACACTGACCCAAAATGGTACTGTACATAGCTTCAAATATAGTAAACCAATTCCCATTGAAATAAAGGTGAAACCTTACTATATAATTATATGATTTGATTAAACCCAACTGCTATGCGAAATTTCTGTTCATTTTAAAATGGCTGCCGAACAAGAATCACATGATATCATGTCACTCGCAAATACAGAAAAACTGTTCGATAAAATAAGATTAAGACATCAGTGTTCCACTCTTCACTATTTGTAACATAATTGTTTATTTCCATGCAAACTATGATGACGTGTGTTGAAAATTTTGCAATTGAACCCTAATTTTACTTGTTCAAAGCCTCGAATAGTGTATCAATTGTAGTCATGAAAAAGAATTATCCCGTTTACAAATATTACAGCTAATAAGTCGCCTGCCTTATCTAGCATTTTCCCTTGGTCGTCCGTTTTCCTCCTAGCTGAAGACTAGCTCTTACAATATACACACAAGTGAATTATTAACCTAAAGTTGTACCAGATGTTAGTCCAAAATCACCTAGTTTGTGTCTAGTTAATGTTAAAAATGTTTTTCGCTTTCCCGAAGCAAGGGATTATACAATACAGATCATACAATTTAGAAAGAGAGAAAAGCCAATTGACAGCCAAATAATAACGTAATAATATTAAAAAAAGCCCCATCATATTATGTATATACAGGTCTATTTATGACATATGTCACATTTTTCTTGTGAATTAAAGAAGGAGAGACATGCACGTTAGCATACACTGAAGCTACACATCAATTCCAGCTCCTCAAAATATTTAAGATGAAAGGGAGATAAGTCCACTTAACCTCAATATACTACAGACCAATTTGTGTGGTTTAATAGTCGAGAGCGAGACATTAAGTAATATATTGATACTGCACGAGTTATATTGTTTTTTGACTCTTTTCTTATGACTTTTATTTCAGATACCTATTTTGTGTATCTGGTACAATTGTCAAGGTGTTTAGTACAACAGGTGGAGGGTGTATAAGAGAGTTAAAGGGGCATACACAACCTATTACAGATATTTCTCTAAATCCTAAAAATAAACTACAGGTAAGTTTATGGTCATATACTTTTCTACTCTGTAGCTTTAAAAACTTATAGGGTTTGTCTGCTCATGATCATGACCCCGCTGCTTGAGAAAGATCTGGTATAAACTATAACCTCTATCATGTTCACGAGGTATTCAGAAAAGGTGACGTAACTATAGAATGGAATGTCGCAGAAAGCTGAATATCGAAAGGTTTCATCCTCTCATACCACAATGCTTCACACCAAATTATTAAGGATTTGTCAAAAACTAGTCTCTATTGTGTTCACAAGCTTATTGTTGATGGACAGATGGGCCCACGACTATATATGCCCAAACTTGGTGTGGGCATATAAAAAGGGTGTGCAAACTATGTGAGAACATTACATGTATATTCTTTAGGGGGTGTCAAGCCTACTACAGTGGACTCAGTCACTTCTGACATCTGAATACTATGGCATTCTGTAAAATCGGTCATCATTTTCATGTCCCAATTTATTTCCTTATTACTTCAACCAAAAAAGTTTTAAGTAGTCTGTATTCTGAATATTCTAAATAACGACATCAATCAGCAGTCCCGTTAAACGATTTACGTTGAATTAACATTGGATAATCCAGCCTTCAATCAGTGGGTGTTAAACGACAATCAATTATCGGTGAGCTTAAAACATGTGTCGGTCTTTGTTGATTGACTTGATAATTTTATAATCTCTCTTAAAAGAGCACTTGGTATTTCATATGACTTTCTCACTTCAAATACAGCGATATTATTGTCCCCCGTCTTTCGAAGAAAGCAGGGGACTATTAAAATGGGTTCGTCCGTCTGTCTGTCCGTCTGTCTGTCTGTCTGTCTGTCCGTCACACTTTTTGGGACACAATAACTCTCTTCCTAATTGAGCTAGAATGTTCAAACTTGGTGTATGTGTTTATTAGGTCAATGCCTTGATGGAGTTCGAAGATGAGCATTTTCCGCTTAGGGTAAGCAGAGATAAGCAATTTGATTGGTTGATGCTTTGGGACACGATAACTCTCTTCCTAATTGGGCTATAATGTTCAAACTTGGTGTATGTGTTGATTAGGTCAATGCCTTGATGGAGTTCGAAGATGAGCATTTTCCGCTTAGGGTAAGCAGAGATAAGCAATTTGATTGGTTGATGCTTTGGGACACGATAACTTTTAATTGAGCTAGAATGTTCAAACTTGGTGTATGTGTTTATTAGGTCAATGCCTTGATGGAGTTCGAAGATGAGCATTTTCCGCTTAGGGTAAGCAGAGATAAGCAATTTGATTGGTTGATACTTTGGGGCACGATAGCTCTCTTCCTAATTGAGCTAGAATGTTCAAACTTGGTGTATGTGTTGATTAGGTCAATGCCTTGATGGAGTTCGAAGATGAGCATTTTCCGCTTAGGGTAAGCAGAGATAAGCAATTTGATTGGTTGATGCTTTGGGACACGATAACTTTAGTTCTAATTAAGTGAGATTGATGAAACTTGGTGTATAGTTTCATTACAGTAATACCTTGAATAAGTTTGATAATGAGCATTTTCTGCTCAGGGTAAGCAGAGCGATACGCAATTTGATTGGTCGAGACTTTGGAAAACAATAACTCTCCTACTTTGATTGTTAGACTATAAGTAAAGATATACTGTTTGATTGTTCAATACTTTGTAAAAGATAATTTGTGATAAATTTATATGTGTCCTCTAATTATTTTCCTATTTCGGCGGGGGACATCAGCCTCACTGTTGGCTTGTTATAAATTGCCGAGACGAAGAATCACTATCATTATAATATTGTGTTCATAATGTGTGATTGTCCTGCAAAGTGTGATCGTCCTGCAAAGCGTGCCCGTATGGATTTGACATCAGATGTCAAGCAGCAAATTATAGCAGATTTAAAGAAAGTTCCATGACCTACACAGAAGGAATGTTAACAGTTTAATAGATGGTTCCGTGTAGACAGGAATTACCCATAATTCTTTTTGCTGTCGCCATCTTATATGGCAATTCGCGGTAACTATGTATGCTGTCCTTTTGTTAGTACAGCACCATACAAAACAAATTACTTTTTGAAAGCCCCCCAAAAACCTTGTTAAAAACAGCTAAAAAAAATAAATGTATAAGAAACCATATTATAATAGGCAGACACTATCGTACTGTTGCCCCTAGCAATCTATTTTTTCATTCACTGAAACGTGTCTTATTTGTGACTCCAATCATATCTTGAGTACTAATTACAAAATAGCTAGCGATGTCGGGTACCACTTCTTACTTCAATACTCGTCGCTTCAGCTACTAACCTGTCACTCTTGATCCATATGAATATTGTGATATAAGAAACAGAAAGAAATGATTTTGCTTGGAACTCTAAATTTGAAGACATCAACAGAATGACGCATGAGTGGTTTGTACGTGTCCGAATTAGAAACCTAATAATTTTATGCAATAAAATTTTGAATGTACAGAAAGGTTTATCATGTTTTAAGTTCTGGGTATTCGAAGGTGTATTGAAATAATACTTCTGGTATTTGAGGTACAATAATACTTCCTTTATTGAGACAATTGAGTATTCCGTCATGCATTATAATCTGGCATATTGTATTGATCCTGTACGATGTCCGGAAGTAACAGTCCACTCTATACCCTCAAGCTCCTTGTCAGTCCATTCCTGGTACAACTCATGGTTATTAATATATTTTAAGATATTATCCTGTTCATCTGATGGTTGGATTAAACAATGGGATTATACAGATGGTGTTATACTTAGGGTAAGTTTTACTAAAATGATAAATATTATTCTATATATTTAATATCTGGCCTGGCAATAATTATTTTGGTTAAGGCTGTCAAAATGTACGACCTATATATTTAGCATGGTAATGCAGACGGCTGTACATGTTACGGCAGATCTTTTAGATTGGAATTAGAATCATGTTTCTTGGTAAGGGCTAATAAGATATGGTTTTCGTAATAAATAAATTTATCTAGCTAGCTTAGATATATTTTCTGATTTTCTGATCAGTGACTATATATTTAGGCTCGTTGAAATGTTGTCTTTAAAGCACAAACATCCCATATACAATAAAACGAAGTCTACCTGAAAAGCATAATGGTCCACACACACACACTTATTTTCTATTCAGAGATAAAATTTTATTGGTTGATGCTTTTGCACACGATAACTTAAGTTCTAATTAGTTTAGCACCATGGGCCTTCTGTCAGGCGTGGAGAGCGGGCCATTAATTCCGGTCGCCACATCCTACGTACGACCCATGCATCTTTTCTTACTACATATTCTAGTAGCCTTGTGATCGTCTAGAATTTGTCTCTAGCTGTCTTTGCGTCTGTTTCACGTTGTGTATTTTCTTCTTACTGTTTTCTTAAGATGTTTGTCTTCTCAGTAGTTATAACAATGCAACAGTTCGTTTTTACATTTGATATAGCATAGCTGTATACATAGATACAAGCATAGTACAGATTACAATACTAACTAAAGTCATTCTGAAACTTTAGCCAGCCAGACTCGATTTGGGCAAGTCTGCTGAATAGAAACTTCTACATCTTTTCCCTTCTAGAATCAAGCTGCTGTCTAACGAATTCTCACAGATATGATATAGTTTTGTAGCTTTTGGCTTTGGATCTTCAATTATCTAATTGGTAAAATATTATGTAAATAATTACAGAGATTGGTCAAATAAGCCAAATGATGCAATCATAAATTTCTGTCACATGTTTTTCGACACAATCTATCCTTGCACTTAGAACCCCTTTCCTGTTTAATCTCATGCTATTTCACAAACAATTAATTTGCGTTTTAAATAAACTCATACCATAGCTAATATACTGACAATAGAGAATAATTTGTAAAAGATAAAAAATGTTGTTTAACCCATCTTATTTCTCTATTCCTTGTCTATAAATTTAAAAACAATGTCGGAACGATGATAGTGCTACATTAGTGAGAGTGATGAAATTTGGTGTATAGTTTCATTACATCAATACATTGACCATGTTCGATAATGAACATTTTCTCCTCAGGGTAAGCAGAGTGATAAGCAATTTGATTGGTCAAGACTTTGGAAAACAATAACTCTCCATCAAATTGAGGTAGATTGTTCAAACTTGATGTAGACTTTCTTTAGGTGAATGCCTTGATGGAGTTCAAAGATGAGCATTTTCTGCTTAGGGCAAGCAGAGATGAGCAATTTAATTGGTTGATGCTTTGGTAAACAATAACTTTAGTTCTAATTCTAATTAAGTGAGAGTGATGGAACTTGGTGTATAGTTTCATTACCTCAATATCTTGACCAAGTTCTATAATAAGCATTTTCTGCATAGGCTAAGTAGCGATAAGCAATTTGATTGGTCAAAACATTGGAACATAACAACTCTGCTTTTAATTAAGGTAGAATGTTTAAACTTGATGTAGATGTTCATTAGGTGAATGTCTTGACTGAGTTTAATGATTAACATTTCCTACTAAAGCTAAGCAGAGCTACCTAATTTCATTGGTTGATGCTTTGGGGCAAGATAACTTTGATTCTAACTGATGGAGAGTGATGAAACTTAGTGTATTATAGTTTCACTACCAGGTGCTTCAAAACCGTGACTGAGTTTGATTGTGAACATTTTATGCTTAGACTAAGTATAGAAAATCAGTTTGATTGCTCAATACTTTTGAAAAAGATTAATATGCAATTAATAATTATCTGTCACCTGTTTATCTGTCATCTGTCCGTCAACATTTTGTTTGTGGACACTCTACAGGTAACAATTTTAATCCGATTTTGACGAAACTTAAAATATAGGTCTATCTCCCAAAGATCTCGGTTCCTTTCGATATTGGCATGTATCGGGCCATAACTTCATCGATTATGTCTCCTGATTGTACGAAAATTCACGTTTTTAGCTTGTGGACATGCTAGAGGTCACAATTTTCACCCGATTTTGATGAAACTTGAAATGCATGTTTATAACCCAAAGTTCTTGGTTTCTTTCGATATTCACGCATATCGGATCGTAACTTTCTGAATTATGGTTCCCGATTGTATGAAAAAACGCTTATTTAGCTTGTGGTCCTTTTAGAGGTCACAATTATTAGTCGATTTAAAAACCGTTTGAATATATCACCGTTACACCATAATGTTGGTCGAGTTTGAATTTCGTGAAAATCGGACCGAAACTGCCAGACAAAATTGCCGCCCCTCGTATGCAAATAGTGTAAACATCTGGTATATCAAGGTTGTGGACCCTCTAGAGGTCACAATTGTGATCCATAATACATGTTTTTAGCCCAAAAATCTTGGTTCCTTTCGTTATTCGCGCATATCGGATCATAACTTCCTGAATTATGGCCGCTGATTGTACGAAAAATCACGATTTGAGATAATAAAAATTTAACTGGCTTTTATTGATTGATTGATTGATCTGTTTTTTTGGCTTTTTTTTAGAAATTTAATCTTGAAACGCCTCTCTATGGTATAATATGTTTTCCACACACTTCCAAATTAGAAGTTGCTGTTATACAGAAAAAAGTTAAAAAAAAAGGTAAGAAATTTGTCCACTTCCTGTATTTATGGTGTCTGCATTTTGCTGAAAGATAATGGCATAAACTCTTCCTCAATCAGAATAAAATTTGACCTTGCTTTTGTTTGGTTTCTTGTCATTTCTGTTGTTGACCTATAAACTACAGTAAGGTTCAAGGCGATGTATATGAAATTGCCCTTTGTTCTGGTTGTAATTGATAAGGACTAGAAATGGTCTGGTATTTAAATTTGTTGCCATCATGATCTAGTCATGTTGCTCACCGGATGTCATAATCCAAGTAAACTGAATAGTCGGCTGGTAAGAGTATCCTTCATGTAGATCTCTATACACAGTGTTTAAGGTCATGAGACGAAGAAGCTTATTGATTTTCAATGATTTCAATAATTACTGCCAGAGTTATGACCCGAAACTCTCAAGAAGAAATGCCTGAAAGCCCATTGAGAGTTGTATCAAACACTGACTGGGGAACAGACCGTAAGGTGGTGCTCAGATTATATCAAGCATTAATAAGATCAAATCTCAATTATGAATTTTCAACAATTTCCGATAGTTACTGCCAGAGTTATGGCCTTTGATCACTTTGAAAAATCTTGTGGATCCTTTGGAGACCATAGTTACATGTATCATCTGATTGATTTTATATTTAAACACCGTGTTTACGCCTATATATAATCATTTCATTGATACACAGAGTTTAAGGTCTTGAGACTAACAAATGTTTTGACTTTCAATGATTTTTGATAACTTGAACAGCTAAATCCATGATATTAAATGTTTTGTATACTAAACGTTAGCATGGGCCAAACAAATTCTTATGATTTTCTGATAATTACTTGATGAGTTTTTACTCTTAATCAGATTTTAGTATATTGTAAGTAATAGTTATTAGCACACTTTCCGAGGTGTATCGGTGAATATCCGGACAGTTAAGGTCGAGGGGCCCAGCCGAAGCGGCCCCCGACTAAAACTGTCCTGATATTCACCGATACACAGAGGAAAGGTGCTAATAAGTTACTTACATCACATTTCTATCGAGTATTGTGAAGCAAAATGTGAAAAATAGTTTTTATTATAGAGTCGTTTCAACCGAAAAGTGACAAATACTTTCTGCTCTTTCATTTATCCCTTTCTGAGCCTCACGTTACATTTCATGGTAGAATGATTTCGCAGTGGAGACGACCTGAGTAGTATTTACACGTGCGTCTTGCTATGATACTCTGAGCGTAAAACAATCACGTGTTTGTTTAGACCACATCGTCAAAACAACTTGTCTATGGTGTAGAGGACTGCGATATTATTAAATGTAGTGTAAAGGAAATGCGAAAGGTGGGTCATTCCTGGTGAAAGTATGCATCGGCGGATGGTTCTTCCGTTGAAATTTATTTGTAATAAAGTTTATGACTTTCTAGGCGTTTTTTTTTCATCCTGCTTATTTTCAATGCCTGTGAAGTGTCCAGCAAGAGAACTGCGCCTTCTATCATCACAATTAATTAAAATAATTATTCAATATTCTAATTTATATATTTTGCATATTATTATAAATCAAACCAAATTATGAAATAGATGCCAATTGATATGTATAATAATTGATTTTTGTAATATGTTGTTATGTTAATTTAATGTCATTGTATATGTTTTTGAACTGCCATGTAGTTCCCCCCGGTTTGTTTTGTTACTATGATTATGACTAGTTGTTTCATGTACATTATCCTTGTGCATTGCATAGAGCCATCGTTTCAAATTGCGATCTGGGTCAGACTAAACGTCCGCTACTTATTGCTTGATAGGTATCTAAAACAGTATAAAGGTATCCGTGTATCAGATATGAACAGTACTCTTTCTGTATATTTCTGATACATGGATACTTTTAAGCATGCATTGAAAATAAACAGGAAGTTTTATCAAAGGTTGCCAGTGGCAACGAGTAGAAGTGTGATGTAAATGTTTCATTACTGACAAAAGAAGGAAAGACATAAAGCTCGCTTTGTATTTCCTTTGAACATCTACAGAAGTATGGGCGAGAATCAATGACTGTGATATGAATTTAACTTCATTCGATAATCTCAAAAAAACTATATTTTTGTAGAACACAAATCATACTGGGATGACTAAGTGTCCTGTATCAAAGTGTTATCACTCAGACCGATCAGGAGATTGTGATTCACCAGAACTATATGTTTATTGACATCAGAAGCATTACTGCTGGAGATCAAGTGTAGTAATTTTCTACACCTGATCATTACCATGAGATAACTTTATAGTTAGGCAAAATTAGACCAAACCAATGGAATTATTAGTTCTTCAGGATCTGAATATAAAGCCGCACATGAACGATGCTTATTTTTATACGTATCATGCCGTCGCCCCTGTCCGTGTGTGTTTTTGGGTCGCCTACAGGGTGCAATTCTTAATGGGTTGTCTTGAAACTTTGCACACTTATTCCTTATACCCTAATAAGGATGATCCCTATTGTTTTTGGTGGATGCCCGACCCCCAAGGACAGGGCCATGCTCATTTCTTGTATTTGTTTGTATATTGTCTACAGGCCGCATTTCTTAAGTATCATCTTGAAACTTTGCATACTTATTCTTTATACCCTAAAGAACACCCCTATTTTTTGTGGTGGATGTCCAATCCCCAAGGGCAGGGCCACGCCCATTTCTTGTATTTGTTTGTTTATCGACTACAGGCCGCATTTCTTAACGTATCATCTTGAAACTTTGCATACTTATTCTTTATACCCTAAGGAACACCCCTATTGTTTGTGGTGCATGCCCAATCGCCAGGGGCAGAGCCATGCCCATTTCCTTTTTATGTGTCTGTGTCGCCTACAGGCCACAATTCTTAAATCGTCTTGAAAAATGTTCATACTCATTCCTTATACCCTAAGGATGATCTCTATTGTTTTTCGTGCATGCCTGAGCTCTAGGGGCAGAACCACACCCATTTCTTGTATTTGTTTGTCATCTACTGGCTGAATTTCTTAAGTTATCATCTTGACATTTTGCATTCTTATTCCTTATACCCTAAGGAACATCCCTATTGTTTGTAGTGCATGCCAATCTCCCAGGGGCAGATCCATGCCCATTTTCTTTTTGTGTGTATATGTGTTGCCTACAGGCCACGATTCCTAATGGATCGTCTTGGAACTTGGCATATGTATTCCTTATAGCCTAAGGACGACAACTGCATGTCCCAACCCCCAGGGGCAGAGCCACACCCAATTTTTGTGTTTATCGTATACAGACTGGAATTCTAAATGGAACATCTTAGAACTTGGCATATTTATTACTTATACTATAAGGATAACAACTATTTATTTTGGTGCATGTCCAGACCCCCAGGGGTGTGTTACCTCACCCACTTTTTTGTTAATTTTTATCTGTAAATACTCTGCAGGTTGCAATAATTAACAAATTTTGTTCAAATTCAGCATATCAATCATTTCAATAACAGGGTGGTACCTATTTATATTGTTTAATATCCAAGCCCAAGGGGCAGAGCTGCGGCCAATTTTTGTATTTATCATCTACAGGCTGCAATTCTGAATGGATTATCTACAAACTTTGCATATTTATTCATTATACCATAAAGACAGCAACTATTTATTTTGGAGCATGACAACTTAGCCTTCTTTGCCTCTTGTCATATTACAGTCATTGCAGCCATTTTATATTTCATTCTCTACATTTTAAAAAGTACCATATCATTCAAAGCAGGAATGTGGATGTATATTGCAGCGTTAGCGATGTTCTTGTTGGATTTAAAATTTTATTTTCACCAAATAACTAAAATTGCTTTGGTGTGGCCTTATTTGATAAGTTGTTTGACTGGTTGGCACCCTGCACACATTACATACCAGGCAATGAATATACACTCACCAGAACAATAACTCATAAATTTGATGAGCAAGCATTTACAAGGTTTCAGTTAGAGGGGTAATAACTTGGGGGAAAAATTGTTGTGCAATTCTGAATTTTAAAAGGGGTTCCACTTTAGGATGGTGCAGCAAAGTAGGACATTAGACCACATTTCATGTAATTTCATGTAATTTGGCTAGTCATGTAAAGACTAGCCAAAAGACACTAGCAAGTTTGAAAAGAAAATCTGAGGGATTTGGTGACCGTGGCAATAACTCCATGTAAAATTAATTAGCAACTGCCAACTTTAATAATGTTTCTCCATATAACTAGCTGATAGCCAAACAAGAAATGTGAAGAAATATGACTGACAAACAGAAGTAGTGTTGTATTTACTACAGCTACATGTGTCGGCAAAGCATTCTATAAAATGTTTGAAATATTACCTATTTGAAATAATGTCTGACCCACCTTCAGGTAAACAAAATGACAAAAATTTGCTATGGGTACATAGTGTTTAATTGTCCCCCGCCTTTCGAAGAAAGCAGGGGACTATTAAAATGGGTTCGTCCGTCTGTCTGTCCGTCGGTCTGTCCGTCACACTTTTTGGGACACAATAACTCTCTTCCTAATTGAGCTAGAATGTTCAAACTTGGTGTATGTGTTTATTAGGTCAATGCCTTGATGGAGTTCGAAGATGAGCATTTTCCGCTTAGGGTAAGCAGAGATAAGCAATTTGATTGGTTGATGCTTTGGGACACGATAACTCTCTTCCTAATTGGGCTAGAATGTTCAAACTTGGTGTATGTGTTGATTAGGTCAATGCCTTGATGGAGTTCGAAGATGAGCATTTTCCGCTTAGGGTAAGCAGAGATAAGCAATTTGATTGGTTGATGCTTTGGGACACGATAACTTTTAATTGAGCTAGAATGTTCAAACTTGGTGTATGTGTTTATTAGGTCAATGCCTTGATGGAGTTCGAAGATGAGCATTTTCCGCTTAGGGTAAGCAGAGATAAGCAATTTGATTGGTTGATACTTTGGGGCACGATAACTCTCTTCCTAATTGAGCTAGAATGTTCAAACTTGGTGTATGTGTTGATTAGGTCAATGCCTTGATGGAGTTCGAAGATGAGCATTTTCCGCTTAGGGTAAGCAGAGATAAGCAATTTGATTGGTTGATGCTTTGGGACACGATAACTTTAGTTCTAATTAAGTGAGATTGATGAAACTTGGTGTATAGATTTATTATATGAATACCTTAACTAAGTTCGATAATGAACATTTTTTGCTGAGGGTAAGCAGAGATAAGCAATTTGATTGGTTGATGCTTTGGGACACGATAACTCTCTTCCTAATTGGGCTAGAATGTTCAAACTTGGTGTATGTGTTGATTAGGTCAATGCCTTGATGGAGTTCGAAGATGAGCATTTTCCGCTTAGGGTAAGCAGAGATAAGCAATTTGATTGGTTGATGCTTTGGGACACGATAACTTTTAATTGAGCTAGAATGTTCAAACTTGGTGTATGTGTTTATTAGGTCAATGCCTTGATGGAGTTCGAAGATGAGCATTTTCCGCTTAGGGTAAGCAGAGATAAGCAATTTGATTGGTTGATACTTTGGGGCACGATAACTCTCTTCCTAATTGAGCTAGAATGTTCAAACTTGGTGTATGTGTTGATTAGGTCAATGCCTTGATGGAGTTCGAAGATGAGCATTTTCCGCTTAGGGTAAGCAGAGATAAGCAATTTGATTGGTTGATGCTTTGGGACACGATAACTTTAGTTCTAATTAAGTGAGATTGATGAAACTTGGTGTATAGATTTATTATATGAATACCTTAACTAAGTTCGATAATGAACATTTTTTGCTGAGGGTAAGCAGAGTGATAAGCAATTTGATTGGTAGAAACTTTGGAACACAATAACTCTCCTTCTAATTGAGGTAGAATGTTCAAACTTGGCATAGGTGTCTATTAGGTGAATGTTTAAACTTGATGTATATGTAGATGTTCATTAGGTGAATGTCTTGACTGAGTTCAATAATTAACATTTCGAGCTGAAGCTAAGCAGAGCTAATCGATTTCATTTGTCGATGGTTTGGGACAAGATAATCTTGATTCTATCTGATAGAGAGTGATGAAACTTAGTGAAAAAAATAAATGTGCGATTAATTAATATGTGTCATCTATTTATTTTGCAATTTCGGCGGGGGGCATCAGCCTCACTGTTGGCTTGTTAAATTTAGATTGTACCTTCTTTGTCATTTTTATGTCATTCGATATGGTCTAACAACATGAAACGGTTGACCGGACTGAACCTGTTATTTTAAACATCCTCTTTATTTGGCAATCAATGTTTTAATTAATGATGTAGCTCAAATCATGGGAACTACGGTGGCTTAGTGAGTGGGATGTTGACTCACTAACCTGGAGGTCCTGTGTTGGCCAAGAAAGTTCATAGGTTTTCCAGCGATCCGGCGAGGTTCGCCCTTGTCAGTGGTGTAGAATGCAGGGCCTGACAAGGAACAACGTATGATCGGAATTCCAAATAAAAGTAGGCCATAGCGCTGCTGTCCAGACAAAATTTCCACTTTTAGCACACTGAATGGCTTATGTCCATCCTCATAAGCCCAGTAGGAGCAGAACAGTAGGATGTTAAACCCCATTTCATTTCATTTCAGCCCAAATTATATAATATAGGGAACAGATAATTGGTCAAGAAATACTTAGATCTTAGATATATGTTATATTCAAGCTGGAATGAAATAAAATCTAAATCTGATTTAATTAGTTGGGACCAGTCATCTCATGGATGAGAACCACGTAAAAGGCAAACACAAATCAAAATGTCTGATACAGTGAGTTCGCATTAATTTCAATATTTGAAGATGTGGGGATGCATAAAGTTATTTTTTAGTATATGTGTACCAAAGTAAAATCAGATTTAAACCTCTGCATATTCTCTATAAGTTATGTATTGTGGCATCTTATTAAAACACTGATCCTATTTCGTTTTGTTTTTTTATAGTTTGAAATTTCGTTTTGTCTTTACTACACTAGGATCTGGAAGAATTGTTATATGTGCCGAGTTTTGGTGGATGTGATTGGTTAATCAAATGTCTAACATCATAGGGTCAAAAGCCGATGTATTACCCCTGGCATGACTTACCACTACAAGTGGTCAGATCTCCTTGTAATGGAGGCCATCGAAAGTATAAAAAAATGAAACGAAAATATAGATCTGTATTTTAATCAGATTGGTATTGTGGGATACCCAAATATATTTAAAGAGCCATAACAACTAATGATGTCATATTCAAAGTAACTTTAGACTCACTCATAGAAAGTCTATAGATTGACATGTGTATGTAACTATAGACAAATGAAGTCTCGATGAAAGATCTACGGAGAATGTTAACAAATATACTACAAAATTTATGTGAACTACCTAAGTGCAGGAGAACCGTGTTAGAAACAAAACTGACAAGACAAACTATATTGACACTGCAAAAAATAAACAACATATATCAAATCAAGAGAAAGAACGTGGGGTGGGGGTGGGGGTGTCAGTCATAAGCGTCTACTGGGCTGTACAAATAACAGTGGTATCGGGTGTTCTAGAAAAGAGTATACTGCATAACACCAGTCTCAGGATATGGCTTAATACCTATGGTGTTATATATAACTGGAGCAATCAGAAACAACAAAAATTTGTTAGCTACATGCATATGAACCAATCAAATGTAAATAAAAATGTAAAATCAGTTGTGTAAACATATATTATGGAAGAGCCTGTTGCAGGTCTTTCTTCAGGCTGAAATGTATATAAACTATTAATTAGACATTTATTAACAGAACAAGACCATAATCAACTCTCGATGGCATCGGATACCTGAGATTTTAACTAGATTAGAACGGTTAGCCACATAAAAATTTAATTTAAAAATGGGAAAGCGAGGCTAAGTCTCGAATATACTAGTGCCCTTGTTACCGGCAATACTATATACCGGAAAACACAGGAAAACACCGGAAAACAACCGGAAAACAACCAGAAAACACCATTTTATACTGAATACCGGAAAACACCGGAAAAACACTAAATACCGGAAAACATCCTAAATATCGGAAAACACCCTAAATAGGTAACCCGGAGCCTGGTCCTCTGTGTGCTGTTTTGGACCAAGTGAGCGCCGATGAAGGAAGGTCAAGGTCATGTTCGTTTTACAAATAGCCCCCCCCCCCCAAAAAAAAATAAAAAAATAAATCTGTTTTTTTTTTCTCCCAAATTTTTTTGACAAAAATTTTTTCTGTCCCCCCCAAAAAATAGAATTTTTCCGAAAAATTGGTTTTACAAAAAAAACATTCCGTAGGAAATAATTTTACAGAGAAAAATACTGGAAACAAAATTTGAATTTTTTGAGAGAGAAATTTGGGAGAAGAAATTCTTAAAAAAAATCTGAAAAGAAATTTTTCTTTGACCGTAGGCGATCGCTCGCTTGTATGTTAATGAATTTATTTCATCAGCGCTCACCTGGTCCAAAACCACACACGAGGACCAAACTCCGCATTACTAAATACCTACCGGAAAACTTAGAAGAGTAAACTGTGCCCGAGATTTTTTTTAGAGAGCGCGCCGCAACGTGCCGCTCCAGGAGGGATCATCGTCAGGGTGGGACGGGGGGTGGAATTGTCCAGTCACGTGACGAACATAGATCTTCCATTCCTCAACCCATATTATTTCCACAGTCATTGTCATTAATCACAAATTACGGGATGATATACGAAAATGCAGGTTTACTTTGAAATGGTGCAAATGATACTTTTCCATCTACAATCTTCAGATCAAAGGATGAAAGTTCTTACACAGTGTAGCATAATTTGTGCAACAGAAGACATCTCGAATATCGATTGTCGGAAAAAACATTTTCTCAGGGACATTTTTTTCCGATTACGCATTCGGTGTAAGTCTTCAGCCACCAGGAAGTGGTTAATATAGTAATGTTTTATTACGATAGTAGTACATAAAACAAATTGGTTGCCTGAGGTTCTCGGGGGGAAAGTAGCCTCATCGGCTAGAGTCCTCTATTTCACAAACAAAAACAACAATTGCTTCCTTGAAAATTTATGGATCAACCCTTTTCACAGACGTCCAGCTTACCACTTCCCGTCAATGCAGTAAGATAGAATATGTAGTTTCCTCATGGACAATTGGGCAAAAGTTGGGGTTTTCTCAAGGAAAACTGGTCAACGAGTTGGGGAATAAAGCTCAAAAAGTAATCCAGAAAAAAAATCATGTGTGTGGGCCTCAGATTATGATGGAATATGTTGAATATTATTATGGTTCAAGTGATTATATTTGACCCTGGAATGAAAGTAAGCTCAGAAACAAGTAGATTTTTAGCCCTTCCAACGAGATGGATAGCTCTTGGAAAGGATAGACACTTTTCAGATTACAGCCTGTCCGAGAATTGCGTGGCATCCATTTCGTTTGGTGATTAGGACACATAGCGGTTAAACCTGGAACTTCAACTCGAACTATTCAGAGATTTATTAACTCGCTTTTGATGATACTTGCTGTTTTATGATGCGATTTTTTGTTACCTAGGGAGGAGTTGGCCTAATCGTGCCTTCCACTGATTCGTACCACCCTGATGCCAGCGTTACTGGTAAGAATCAGGAGACTGGCGCAACCGGCATATAACGGGGCCCTCAGAGGGCTGTGTTTAATCTACTGAAATACTGAAACACTGAAATCTACTAAAATTTACTGAAAACTAAAATTAAAATACAAAATAAAATATGGTCAATGATGGAGGTAGACTGATTGCGTCTTTTAAAACATTCAAAACATAATAGGCATCAACAAAATTTTGGAAATTTTTTTATTTTTTTTTTGGGGGGGGGGGCGGCTATTTGTAAAACGAACATTGTAATGACCTTGACCTTCCTCCATCGGCGCTCACTTGGTCAAAAACCGCACACAGAGGACCAGGCTCCGGGTTACCTATTTAGGGTGTTTTCCGGTATTTAGGATGTTTTCCGGTATTCAGTATTAAATGGTGTTTTCCGGTGTTTTCCGGGTGTTTTCCGGTGTTTTCCTGTGTTTTCCGGTATATAGTATGGCCCCCTTGTTACCACAATTCACGCATCTTGTCAAAACTACTAACAATGATAACTTGGCTCAGAAAGAACTAATTTGAATGAAATTTTCAATATATTCATTTTACATTATCTATATTATAGCAATAATGGCCAGCTCTTTATCTAAATCTTACATAATGTATCTTTAAGTTATACATTTACACAATTAAGTACTTCTTCATCTGTTAACATGGGCAATATCTTAAGACTGTCCATAATACCTTCCTCTACCGATATTGTTGATCTGTAGCCTAAATTTTGTATTTTCTCATAACTAACTTCATAGTCTCTTTTATCTTTGTCTTCCCCTGTTGTGTTTGTTGTTATTTTACAAGATGGGACTTTAGACTGGATTATCTGGGCCACTTGAGCTTTTGTATAGTTCATTGTTTCATCCCCTACATTATACGCTTTACCTTTCATCACTTTATAGTTTTCCAATGCAAAAATAAATGCTCTGGCTGCATCTTTCACATGTAAGAATGTGCGGCGGAAATGACCTTCGTACAAATCAAAACTTTTATTTGTTAGGGCCTTGTAGGTTAGGTCGTTTACCAATAAATCGAGACGAAGACGTGGTGCGACACCAAACACAGTTGCCAATCTCAATGCAACGCCTCCAGCTTCCAGAACTAATTTTTCGCCCCCAGCTTTACTACTGCCATACAATGAGATAGGACTTATTGGTGTATTTTCTGTACATACACCTTCCACTGCTCCGTAACAAGATCCAGTACTAGCATAGATCAGTTTTTGATGAGGTTCCAGTAGTCGAGTGATATTACCCGTACCATTGATATTTATTTCCACGGCTTTATCAGGATTTTCATCACAGGCCGGATAACCGACAATGGCTGCTAAATGGATGATAGCCATTTTACCCTTTACCACTGGTTTCAGTTCTTCCAGATTGCTTATGTCTCCTTTAATAATCTTTAGTTTAGGATGGGAAGAGATGAATAACAATGGTTTAATTCCCCACAGAAATTTGTCGTAGACTGTAACTTCATAACCAGCAGATAACAGCATAGGAACAATGGTAGTTCCGATATATCCTGCTCCTCCTGTTACTAAAACATGACCATTGTCTTCTTTTCCATTAGGTTGATGATTTACATTAATATTATTATCTTCCATTTCAATAGACAGTAGTGGGTATTGTAACAACTTCAACCTGTAATCATATAAAATACAAAATTAACCAGCTATATGGACAGTAAATATGTGTTATGATAAAGTAAGAACAAATATAAAATGAAGCGAATAATAGAAGTAAAGAGCTATATCTGCACGGATGAGCAATTTAGTATAATGTTTGCACAGTTTTTAACCTTTTGTTGACTTACTTTAAAAAGTATCATGTATTTTTCTTTTATTTCACTATTACATGTAAATATTTAAACCATTTTGTATTAAAATAATGTGATTAAATTGACTGTCTTAAAAGTACATGTATGTGTATATAAATTTCCATATACAGAATTACAATTTTAAATGATATATCTGGCTTTAAGGTATGGAAATGTGATCGTATATTACCGTTGCCCCCATCCGTACGTACATCCGACGCACGTACGTCCGTCCGTTGGCCACAATTTCTTGTGAACACTCTACAAACTACATTTATCAGCTGATTGTTTTGAAACTGATATATATTATGTGGTTTACATTAGTGAGATGAAGAAGAATATTTAATTTCAATAATTTCTGTTCATTACGTCTAGAGTTATGGCCCTCTTTTCACTTTGTTGAACATTGTGAATGCTATTTTGCAAAAAGTTATCATCCGATCTTTGTGAAATTGATATGCATTATTTAAATTAGTGAAACGAAGAAGTCTATTGAATTTCAGCAATTTCTGTTTATTATGTCTAGAGTTATGGCCCTTGTTTCACTTTATTGATCCTTGTGAACGCCCTAACGCCAAAAGTTATCATCCGATCTTTCTGCATTATTTAAAGTAGTGAAATAAAGAAGCTTATTGAATTTCAGTAATTTCTGTTTATTACGTCTAGAGTTATGGCCCTTGTTTCACTTTATTTAACTTCGTGAATGCTCTAACATCAAAAGTTATCTACGGAACTGTATGAAATTTACATGCGTCATTTAAATTAGTAAAGAATCCTATTAAATTTCAGAAATTTCCGTTTATTACTTCTAGAGTTATTTGTCGTACGCAAATAGTGTAAAAATATAGTATATCAAGGTTATGGACCCACTGGAAATACATGTTTATAACCCAAAGATCTTGGTTCCTTTCGATATTTGCACACAATTTAGATTTAATTTTGATGAAACATGAAATATATCTTTATACCTCAAAGATTTATTTCACTATTACATGTAATTATTTGAACCATTTTGTATTAAAATAATGTGATTAAATTGACTGTCTTAAAAGTACATGTATGTGTATATAAATTTCCATATACAGAATTACAATTTTAAATGATATATCTGGCTTTAAGGTATTTGATTAAAAATATCACAGAAAGGTAAATTAATATTAAAAATATCTCAGTGGTATCAACCATGAAATCTTTTTTTTTTTACAGACTAAATTAATAAGAAATTTAAAGATACATTATGTGAGATTAGATAAAGAGCTGGCAGTTCTCACTATAACTAGATAATGTAAAGGGAATTTGCTGAAAATTTCAGTCAAATTGATTCACTCTGAACCAAGATTTTAGCGATTGAATTTTTGGCCTAGCCTCGATCATCATTACTAAAGTCGGTACGATAAAAAACATAGTCTCAATTATCCATTTCATCATTAAATTATGAATGGAAGTCGGAACAACAAATCCAAACCTAATCCAATAAACATCACATTGAGAGTTGATTATGATCTGGATAAGTTAATTAATGATTTAGATAACATTTCAGGCCTAAAGAAAGACCTGCAATAGGCAGATTTAGCTCTTGTATAATGTATGTATAAGTCTTTCACTTTTTCTTAGTCCACTCACCCTCAAGTTTATCAATATATACATCAAGCGCTCCCTAACGCGGAGTGATCAGACAATCTTCGCATGCAACCTTTGACTCGAGCAGACATCCTAATCATTGGGTTGCCAATTAGGGAAACCCTCGCATCTTTGTCCTGTATGCGCTCCATGGGTGTTTTTCAGGGAATCCAGTACTTTTCTAGTAAGATTGGATGTTTCTACTTTCTATATATACCAAAATTGCCATACTTTTATTGGAAATAACCACCAGATAAATACTTTTCTGGGAAAGTATCTTTCAAGAGGATAAAAAGGCGTGACTACATGTATTCATTTTATTTCTGCGAATCAGTGAGGTTTTACAATAGAAATAGATGTTAATACAACCGTCTTAATGCTAGGTTTCCACTACACGGGGGTCGTACACGGTAATCTCCACTTCTCCTCTCGTCTACGAACAACACTGCCGTCTGTAACCCGAAATTTTTTCAGGCATTTCAGGTACTATCCCCTAACATTCATCGAGCCCATACACCAAGACAATAAATTAATATTATATTATATTTTATTCCAAATAAGCTCACCTAATTAATAAACATCAAAGCACAGGTCTTCTAGAGAATATTATTTCATTACCAATCGGTGAGGACTTCAAGTTGTTTGTGGGTGGGAAATAAACTGCTAATGCCTCTTAAACTGCAGAGTTGTTATAAAAAACGTCAACTTTTCAAGGATATATTTGCTAAACACTCCCTAACCTCTTATTATTTGGTGTTATGGTAACCAAACAGATTTATTTAAACATGTTGATGTATAGAACCTGTTAATACATTGAAAACAACAAAAGGAGTCATCCTCCTTGTATAAATACTATTTAAAATAGTAACATATTGTCTTCTAATCAGGAGGTTGCTAATTATAATTATCTTGCTAACTTCTAATAGCCTGATGAATTGTGTCACATTATTTGTCACTGATCATGACTATTACAATAGCCAGTCTACTTATTACTCACCAAGCTTAAAACAAATGACCTCCTTTATGATTCATTTTCTAGTGACATAGATAAGTTTGGAAAATTTTGTTTTATAGTTAATTTGGTCATATAGGTATGTCTGTAACCCCTGTCTGCAAGGTCAGTCTGTCTGTCGTCCACAATTTGCTAAGTTCTGGATGTTCTAGAGGCAAAAGTTATCATCTGATTGACTGGAAATTGAACAGATATTGACAGGATTAGAGACGGAAATAATTCTTAATTTAAATTATAATTTTTTCAATTTTCAAAGTTGTTAAACTTTATATATCTTTCTTTTGTGGCCACGAAGATGAAAGATATGCCGTTTTCGCCATAGTCTGTGATTTTAAATTTATACACAGGGTCTTTTATATTCATGAGATGGATTGGGTGGTCGAGTGGTCCAACAAGTGTGCTTTAGAACATAAGGTCTGTCCTTGAGTCAAGTGACAAGGAGTAGGGCTATGCAAGAATAAAGTTATATTATATGTTTACTGAAAAGGGATGAACATCTAAAGTTATAATTACCCATACATGTTTTGTATAATAAATATAATGGGAACATCGTTTACTGTCTTCAACCATGTCCACATGCAATTTTTATTCGCCCACATGGAAATGTGATCGTATATTACCGTTGCCCCCATCTGTACGTACATCCGACGCACGTACGTCCGTCTGTCGGCCACAATTTCTTGTGAACACTCTACAAACTACATTTATCAGCTGATTGTTTTGAAACTGATATATATTATGTGGTTTACATTAGTGAGATGAAGAAGAATATTTAATTTCAATAATTTCTGTTCATTACGTCTAGAGTTATGGCCCTCTTTTCACTTTGTTGAACATTGTGAATGCTATTTTGCAAAAAGTTATCATCCGATCTTTGTGAAATTGATATGCATTATTTAAATTAGTGAAACGAAGAAGTCTATTGAATTTCAGCAATTTCTGTTTATTATGTCTAGAGTTATGGCCCTTGTTTCACTTTATTGATCCTTGTGAACGCCCTAACGCCAAAAGTTATCATCCGATCTTTCTGCATTATTTAAAGTAGTGAAATAAAGAAGCTTATTGAATTTCAGCAATTTCTGTTTATTACGTCTAGAGTTATGGCCCTTGTTTCACTTTATTAAACTTCGTGAATGCTCTAACATCAAAAGTTATCTGCGGAACTGTATGAATTTACATGCATCATTTAAATTAGTAAAGAATCCTATTAAATTTCAGCAATTTCCGTTTATTACTTCTAGAGTTATTTGTCGTACGCAAATAGTGTAAAAATATGGTATATCAAGGTTATGGACCCACTAGAGATCACAATTTTGATAAAACTGGAAATACATGTTTATAACCCAAAGATCTTGGTTCCTTTCGATATTTGCACACAATTTAGATTTAATTTTGATGAAACATGAAATATATCTTTATACCTCAAAGATCTTGGTTCTTGTTGATATTCGCGCATATCGAATCGTACAAGTACCTTCCTGAATTATTTCCATTGATTGTATAAAAAATCTCTTTTTATTTAGCTCGTTATCTATCTATCCTGGCAGCCACCGTTTTTTAAAAAAAAAAAAAAAAATCTTTAAATAGTTTTATGAACCATACCTTAGTGATTTATTTTATCCAATAAATATTACAGGACAAATTGAAATATAATAATGTTGATAAATTATTTTTGTATGAAATCGAGGATAAAATTGCACACTAGATACAGTTCAATAATTATTAATACATTTGATAATTACAAACGAAGAGATCAATACATGAATGTAATAATCTACTATCTAAATATTCCAATTTATGGATTTCAATCAAATTTTAAGTGGTATATAATAGAATAGATGGTGCTTATTCAGATGTGAACATTCAAATAAAGTTTGCTGACATGCCATAAAACCATATTTCATTCATTCGTTCATTAAAATAAAGTTGGTTGACTTCATATGGAAACTTAAACACAGGGATTGATCCAGAGGCAGGGTTTACTGATAGAAATTGCTACATCTTCTCTCTGGAATCCAGCGGCTGTCTTACGAATGCTCAGAGATATGATTATGATAGTTTTAATGTAGCTGTGGGTTTGGCCCAAATTGGTCAAATATGATGTAATTATTTATAATGATTGGTTAATTAGCCTAATGACGTTGAATTTAATGGTAATGACGCTACCATCAATTTAAAGAACAAAAATTCTGTCAATCTTACTACAGTCTGTCATTGAGTCAAGTGACATGGTTTCGACTCCCGCTTGTATGTAACAATGAGTAGGGTCGTCTGTCCAACCTTGTGAGTTTTCTCCGGGTCCTCTGGTTTCCTCCCACTGCTAAATACACCTAAGCGCAAGCAAATTATTGAGATAAAATTGAATCATATGTTAAATGTTATTCCAAAAATGACCTAGTTTGTGTTGAGTTGACGTTAAATCCCTTTTATCTCTCTTTCTTTATTGACCCCACCTTTCGAAGAAAGCAGGGGGCTATTAAAATGGGTGAGAGTTTAACCTCCACTCGACAAAAAATAGGTCATTTCGGGACTAACACATGGTTCAATTTTATTTTAATAATTCGATTGCGCGTAGGGGTCTTTAGCAGTGAGAGGAAACCGGAGGACCCGGAGAAAACCCACGAGGTTGGACAGCTTGTCACGTACAACCGGGGAATCGAAACCCCGCCAGTTGACTCAATGACAGACTGTATGATACAGCGCGCGCGTGCTAACCATTCGGCCATCCAACCCCCCAGAGAGAGAGAGAGAGAGTTTAAACAACTGGACACAAACTAGGTCATTTCGGGAATAATAGTGGTGAAACTTGGTGTATAGTTTCATTACATCAATACCTTAACAAAGTTCAGTGCTGAGCATTTTCTGCTAAGGCAAAGTAGAGACTTCAATCTGATTGGACGAGACTTTGGAACACAATAACTCTCCTTCTAATTCAGGTAGAATTGGGGGAATGCCTTGACAGAGTTCGATCATGCACTTTTTCAACTAAGGCTAAGCAGAGATAAGCATTCTCATTGGTTGAGACTTTGGTTTAAATTGGGTGAGAGCGATGAAACTCTGAGTCTAGATTCATTATATCAATACATCAATGATGAGAATTTTCTGTTACGCTAAGAAGCGATAAGCAATTTGATTGGTCAAAACTTTGGAACATAACACCTCTTGTTCTAATTGAGGTACATGTATAGATGTTCATTAGGTGAATGTCTTCGTTGAGCTCAATGATTAATATTTCCCGTTAAAGTTAAGCAGAACTAAGCAATTTCATTGGTCGGCACTTTGGGACAAGATAACTTTGATTCTAACTGATGAAACTTAATATGTAATTTGATCTTGTAAATTTACTTTCTGACTAAAGTTATGTTGATATGTATATTTACAGGTTGTGAGTTAGTAAAGTATATTTTATCTAATTGGACAGACAGTGGTAAACCAGAAGTAACTTCGTTATTTGATACATGTAGTAATAACAGAAAACATATAGCATTAGGTGCTGAGGTTAGTTATACATTAACATTATATTCCACATGACACTGGGAGCCATGGCGCTGGCTTACTAACAAGGAGCTCCTGGGTTTCATCCTTGGCATTTCCCAACCTAGTTTCTTTTATTCAGTGGTGTAAGATGGATAGAAAAACTGTAATTCCCATTGGCGTGGATGTAAAAGAACGGTTGGCGGTTGGAATTCGAAGAAGAGTAGTTAGAAGGCGCTGCTAATTTCCCCACAAAGTACACAGCATGAAGCATATATAAAAGGCGTTAAAACTCCATTTCAATCCCACACGACCCATGCTTTACACATCTTCGGTTTTATTTAGTAGTATATTCTTCATCCAAGTTTATGAGACTTTGCCATAAGAAAAAGCTTTTAACAAAAACTTTGGAAATTAGAGGAAAACTTGATATAATTGCCCTACATGGCCATTTCAATCTCAAACATCGTTATACATTTGTTACCTGAAGGAGCTTTGCTGTTTTGGGGTGTAGTCCGTTGTGATGTCCTCGTAAAAGCTTTTAACAAAAACTTTGGAAATTAGAGGAAAACTTGATATAATTGCCCTACTATCTCACAAAGAATTGTGTTTTATATATGTTTTATTGCAGGATGAATTTATAGCAGCTATAACTGAAAAATCATTATCTATATTTAACTTGAAAAAAAAGAAATTAACAAGGTGAGTAATAAATAATTGTGTCAGTTAATTAACTGAAAAATCAATTTTCCTGCATGTTACATGTATTTTCAGAATACATAGTGTGAAAAACAATCTATAGGATCATTTTTGTTTTCAAATTGGATTGGCTCGATGTGCTAACATCACTGCAGTTATAGTAAAATATTTATGTAACCCTCTGACAGTATTTGTCACCCTTTACATGCAATAAAATAATAATAAAGATGTTTAAGGTCTAAAAGAATTGAATTAAAATCAGATTACATTTGCTTTTTGTTTGTTTTGGGTTTGATTTTTACATTACATTGTAATCTAAATAGACATATGTCATCTTGATCTTGATTCCTGGTAGGAAAGATAAAATTTATATCAGAAAATTGTATTCCTGGTGATCATAAACCCGTAAACTACCAGAATCATTCCCATAATCTATAGCTTAAAATTCACCATAACATGCAGCGTTGTATACCAATACAGACAATTTGAATGCAGACTTTTAAACAAGATATGTCTGATAATCAAATGAAGCAGAATTAATATTTGGTTTTATTGAGTTTAAAATAGCTTTAGCATTTCTAAACTTCTATATACTAATAATTGTATAAATGGAAATTTGTATTTTTAGGTGCCAATATATTTATTTAATTTAATAGGTTTGAAAGTGAAAATAACTGTTTTACTACGATAGTTTGTCATCCAACAGATAAATGTATTGTAATAGGTGATGAACTAGGACAAATACATTACTGGTAAGTTTAAACTGCTGATTTTAAATCCCTTGCAAACTTGTGGAAATTGAATCTCTAAAAGATAATGTCAGGATGGTTGAATTCTGTTAAGTATTTACAGATGCATCATCAGTTGAAAATCTTTCAGTGTTCAGCATCCTCTCTGCAGACGATATAAATAAGTTAAGATAAGTCTCACTAAGTAGGAGCAGCAGGTCTTGGCTTTGATCCTGATGTTGACCATAGAGTTGTTCAGATGACTCCATGTTCCAGAAGCAACGACTGCGAGTTTCACAACATCTGGCCGTTGCTTGTTTACTTCACAATTCTCGAACTTATAGCTATGTTATCTACAGACACGTGAGCAGTAGCGTCCAATCAGAGGTTGTGACATCGCGACCTGCACGGAAACCTTGACATTGAATGAACCTTGAACTTTGCAACTCGATTATCACAGGTAGACATTTTAGCTTGAAAGCGCTAGACATGGTATTCGCGACGATCAAGGAATCTGATAGGCTCACAATTTGGGCTTGTACCCAATCGAAATTAGTGCTAAAATATGTAGGGTATTACGCGAAAGCCTTGATAAGATGTACGTAGTTGAAGTGAGATCAAGCCTTCTATTGAAGATGGGATGACTCATGAACACCATTAAGATCCCCTGACAGAAAAAGAAATGTGTAGGCTGTAGCGTCGATGTCTAGGCAAAATTTCCCTCATAGCACACCGTATAGTGTATGACTGTCTTCATTAGCTTGTGACTGATAATTAGAGGAAATAACTCTGCTGGATATTTAAAATTTTTATAGACTTGTAACTTACGTCAGATCTGGTTTTTTTTCAGAATTTGTGTTACTATCTCTAGTTTTAAATTCTCATATCTACTTTTATGTCTAAGTTTAATATATTACTTTTTCCAGGTGGAATTTTTGTAAAGCTCAAAAAGTTGTGAAAACTACATACCATTGGCATTCATTGCCTGTTAAATGTCTGCAGTTTACTACAGAAGGTATAAATGACTTTTCATATGAACAATTCTTATGTATTTAATAATCTAAATCTACTTGAACATCCAGTCTACCCACATTGAGAAGTAGTAAAGGTGAGATTTGTACGTTTAGGGCATAGATATCTCTCGATTTGATAAATTTCTATGAATATCGGTAAAATTCTAATTATCGCAACAAATCTAATAGAAGAGGCTAAAATCTGTAGGTACGGTGTGTTAATTAACAGGGATGAGAAATTGACTGAGTGGTGATATAATTATCGCTAGGGGTGAAAATCTCGGCGACGATGCGTTTTCTGTACCGATGTGTTAATTAATGTTATTTTAGACTATAAATTTTATTATTATTATAGGTTCGTCTTTATTATCTGGTGGCCATGAATGTGTGCTAGTTAAATGGCAGTATAATTCTAGTTCAAGAGATTATTTACCACGACTTGGTTCACCTTTAAATCATATTACCTGTTCACCAGATAATACAGTGTATGCTTTAGCCCACGAAGATAATGGTATGACTTTTGGCCAATAAAATTGAATGTTTTCTGATATTAGATTCCTCTTGTAGAATGAATCATGATGTTATGCTGGTATTGCAAAAAGGTTATGTAATGTAAAGTAAAGGCTTGCTATGTAGCTCTGATGAACATATAAATTATGCATGGCTCTAAATAATTGGGTGACCGTTTGGTCATAAAGTCGGTTCCACACTTGTATGTTATGAGGAATAGAGTCGACTGCCAAACTTCAAGTGTTTTTGCTGGGTCCTGTGGTTTCCTCCAACTGTATAGACCCCTATGCGTAGGTGACTTATTGAAATACAATTGTACTATATGTTAGTCCCAAAATGACCTAGTTTGTGTTCAGTGTATGTTAAACTCTATTTCTTTTATAATACTTGTAATACACTTGAATTTAAAATGTTACATTTCTTTCATATATATCTCTTTTATGTCATCAAGGACCTGGTGTTGAAAAGATGGAATCTACCCCCCAAAAAAGTTTTCTGAAGTTTTTTTTTAGTTTAATGTTTATATATTTCAGCTGTTCGACTTATATCCAATACATATAAACCAGTATGTTTTTATCAGGGGTTAACTAGAGGTCATCTACAGACACATGTTAAACATCAAGCTTCTACAGGACTTCTCTATGATCCCCATACTAAAGCTATAGTTACTAATGGACGTGTGGGGCATCTTCAGTTTTATAATGTTCATTCGGACACACAAATATTTAATGTAAGTTCTAAATATTTGGGGTTTTTTGTTACCGATAATTACCCTCCGGCTTAAGTTAAACTCTTTAACTCTAAGTGGCATATAACAATTTATCCTGTTCAATAATTTATGTTTTTAAAAGAGTTATAGTTCTTGCTTCACAAAATATATTTTTTTAAATTATAGCTAGATACTGTTGGTCAAAATTATATCTCACCTGATTCACTGTCAAAGCATACAACAGCTACGCAAGTAACCAAGGCAGCATTTAATCAATTTGGTAAATGGTTGGCTACTACAGAATACTGGTCAGCTGAAAATCTTAGTCCAGAAATCCGAATGAAATTCTGGATATTTAATGAAGAAAAACAAACGTGAGTTTAATACGATTTCAGAAGTTTGTAATTGATGATTGTACGTAACAAGGAGTAGGGTCGCCTGTCCAACCTCGTGGGTTTTCTCTGAGTTCTCTGGTTTTCTCCCACTGCTAAAGACCCCTACTTGCAAGCAAATTATTGAAATAAAATTGAACCATGTGTTAGTCCCAAAATGACCTAGTTTGTGTCGAGTGGACGTTAAACCCCATTTCTCTCTCTCTCTTGTAATTGATGATTACTTTAATTTGTATTATATCCAGTTAATTATAAAGAAAAAAAACAAAATTTGAAATGAGTTTACAACATCTTGTCATTATTAGACTAACATACGTTTATTTTGTTACTATGGTCATGGGTACAATACTTAAGAGGACAATTCCAACTGTCGAGGTTTCTTTTACATGTACCCCAATGTGTACACAGGTAAATCTGATTGTTATAATCCAATCTGAATGATTAGGTGTACTATCAGTTCGAACCAGTACATTCTGATAGGGAGTGCCCTGATTGCTGGACTGCCAATTAATTAGAAAAAGCAAAGTCACATTATGAGAGAAGACCCAAAGCTGGATGGTCTTTGACATCAAAGATAAGTTGCTTAAAGTGTTGCAAAACCCCATCAATGTCTGCTTATATAGATTTAGCTGTTGCTTCGATTCTTTTGTTAATTATTTATTTTTTGAAGAGGATATTATAAAATATTGTCTGAAGTGTGTCAGTATTATTAGGGATGTCTGAAGTGTGTCAGTATTATTAGGGATGTCTGAAGTGTGTCAGTATTATTAGGGATGTCTGAAGTGTGTCAGTATTATTAGGGATGTCTGAAGTGTGTCAGTATTATTAGGGATGTCTGAAGTGTGTCAGTATGATAAGGGATGTCTGAAGTGTGTCAGTATGATTAGGGATGTCTGAGGTACATGTTTGTCAGTATTATTTTGGTAAACATAAACGATTTTGAACAGAAACTTATTCAACATATGAGGGTTTATTTTTTCAGATATACTTTAAACACTTGTGTGGAGTTTCCACATGAAGAAGAAGTACATTGTTTAATGTTTCGACCACAATGTGTTCGTAATAAAGACTTGTTAATGGTAGTTACTACATGTCAAGATGGTTGCTTTAAACTATGGACGGCAGCAGACAGTACAGATCTCTATGGTTTGTACAACTGAAGTTTTAGTTTTTAGATGGCAATTTATATAGTTCAGTAACTGAATAGGCTACTGGTGTTGATTTTAGCTTTGCCACAATGCAAGTTCATTCAACAGGAACCAATGTCATAAGATACTATCCAAATTATACATATCTTCGATGTATGATGGTATGGACAAAGTATTTTTGAGAGAAAGTAGGCTACTTATTAGGCAGTCCTGTCGGAAGTTAAAAATAACTGAGGAGTTATCTCCCGTTTTGCATTTAACCTTATGAGGTCTTGTGATTGCAGTACAGTACAAAGTTTATGATTAAAAGTTTTAAACCTTAGTGGAAGTGTTAATGTGGGTTTTCAGAGTTCTTGATATAGGCTTTCAAACTAAATAATCCTTTAGAGGCATTTATCCTTTAGTAACTAAATAGAGCAATAAACTATAACACATACTTATGGAAGTACAGTTCTTTAATTTATTTATTTAGTTGAATATTTAAAATCATGCTCAGCTGGATCTATTGACAATGATTTTAGAGCTGAGCACATATACAAACAACTTTGCTTCTTATGGGTGTATAATTTATAAGGAGACCTAATAAACCCTTGTCTATGTTTACTTTTTTCAAATAATTACTATTTCACTGGATTTGAATGTAAAAAGAATATCAAACAGGTTTGAAAAAAGGAGGTTTTAGTTTCTCAAGTTAGTAAATGTTGGTTTAAATGTTTCAGGTAGTGTAACTAAATGGATGTGTGATACATCTAGTACATATAGAGATTTACCAGCTGGACAAGCACAATTTACACAGGATGGTTCTATATTAGCTGTTGTATTTCTCTCTACCATTACACTCTGGGATCCAGATACAAACGAACTTAAAGCTACATTACATGCTAGTATGGGGGACTCAGTTGTAAAGTAAGTAAATAGTTGCCTCATGAGATCCATGTTTGAACTAGAGCTGACATTAATTAAAGAGCAGATCAATTTTTTCACATATGTTATATGATCTTTAATTGGCAAGACAATTTTGTGACAGAATATGATAAGGTTTGACATTAATTTTATAAATGAATTTTGGTGGATTATTTTCACATACAAATTGTCAGCTTAAGATCGTAGGTAAATTGAATACATGTGACTGAGTAATGGCCTACTGTCTGACCATCTGAATTCCCTACTTTTAGGGGGTGACGGTGGCTAAGTGGGTAAGACGCTAGCTTGCTACCCAGGAGGTCGGGTGTTCGATCCCTGCATTGGCCGAGAAAGTTCATCCAGATTTTCCGGCGTGGTTCCCCCTTGTCAGTGATGCATTTGGAGGAGACAAAAAAACGAGGTCCCGTGTACACACTGGCGTGCACGTAAAAGATCCCTTGACAGTTGGAATTCGATATAAGAGTAGGCCATAGTGCCGATGTCCGGACGGAATTTCCCCCATAGCTCACTGTATGGCGTATGCCCGTCATCATTAGCCCAGTTCGGAGCAAAATAATAGGACATTAAACCCCATTTCATTTCCCTACTTTTACTCGATCTTTGAGGAAAATCATGGATCACATCACTTACTTTTCTTTACTTACATGGTTTAGGAAACGTGACTTCTGTTTATGGTACATTTTCTTGGTCGTAGAAAATAGTTTGTAGAAATGTATTAATTGTTGTCCCCCGCCTTTCGAAGAAAGCAGGGGACTATTAAGATGGGATCTGTCCGTCTGTCTGTCCGTCACACTTTTTGGGCCACAGTAACTCTCCTAATTGAGCTAGAATGTTCAAACTTGGTGTAGGTGTTTATTAGGCGAATGCCTGGACGGGTAAGCAGAGATAAGCAATTTGATTGTTTAATGCTTTGGGACATGATAACTTTAGTTCTTATTAAGTGAGAGTGATCAAACTTGATGTATAGTTTCATTACATCAATACTTTGACTAAGTTCAATAATGAGCATTTTCTGCTGAGGGTAAGCAGAGCGATAAGCAATTTGATTGGTTGAGACTTTGGAACACAATAACTCCTAATTGGGGCACCATTTCCACACTTGGTATAGGTGTTATTAGTTGAATGCTTTGATGGAGTTTGAAGATGAGAATTTTCTGTTATGGGAAAGCAGAGATAAGCAATTTGATTGGTTGATGCTTTGGGGCACGATAACTTTAGTTCTAATTAAGTGAGAGTGATGAAACTTGGTGTATAGTTTCATTACATCAATACCTTGACTAAGTTCGATGATGAGAATTTTCTGCTTAGGCTAACGAGCAATAAGCATTTTGATTGGTCAAACTCTTCTTCTTCTAAGTTCTTATTAAGTGAGAGTGATGAAACTTGGTGTATAACTTTAGTTCTAATTGAGGTAGAATGTTCAGACTTGGTGTAGACGTTCGTTAGGTGAATGCCTTGATGGAGTTTGATGATAAACTTTGTCTTCTTACGGTAAGCAGAGATAAGCAATTTAATTGGTTGATGATTTTGGGCCCAATAACTTTGGTTATAATTAAGTGAGAGTGATGAAACTTTGAGTATAGATTCATTATATCATTGATGATGAAAAATTTCTGCTTGGGCTAAGGAGCGATAAGCTATTTGATTGGTCATGATTTTGGAACATTATAACTCTGCTTTTAATTGAGGTAGAATGTTTAAACTTGATGTAAATGTTCATTAGGTGAATGTCTTGACTGAGTTCAATGATTAACATTTCCCGCTAAAGCAAAGCAGAGCTAAGCAATTTCTTTGACTTTGATTCCATCTGATAGAATGATGAAACTTATTGTATAGTTGATAATCAGTTTGATTGCTTGATACTTTATAAAAAAGATAATTTGCAATTAATTAATATGTGTCATCTATTTATTTCGGGATTTTAGGCGGGGGTTATCAGCCTCAGTGTTGGCTTGTTTTAACTGTTTTGTTTTGGCCAACATTTCTCAAATAATTGTTTGGTTTTCAGTCATATATGTTTTGGTTATAATGGTAGCAGTCAATATCTAGTAACAGCATCAGATCAACATATAACATCCTGGAATCTTTTAACATTATCAGGTATATTACTAATTTATTGATATACATAATTACAGATCAGATGGAAAAAATGGAGAAACAAATTTGATCATTTTCTCTTGTTCATATGATCCCTTAAAGAGGCATTATCACCTTCAGCATGAAAATAAATGTAATTAATTTTGAATGATATATGTCTTATTCAAAATAACCATAACATCACTTGTGGGAAATCCAAGCCCCAACCTACTTTGGTGTGGCCCCGTCTTCATTAGCCCAGATGGAGCAGAAAAGTAGATGTTAAACCCCATTTTGCGGCATTTTATTTACTTTAGTGTGGATTAGGCCATGAAAATTTAAGATATTGTTTGAAAAATGCACAAGCGGCGACGTTATATGCTTGTCAGTTGAAAGTTTGAACCATCTACATCTAACTGATCTTGTGTCATATTTGTCTCAAATTTTAGATAGAATAACATTTTGTTTCTAAACTCTTGACAACTTCAAAAGCCTATATTGTCTGGATCATAGCCTGGATAAAATATTGCTAAATTTGTAAACCGTGTGAAAGGTCATATAGAGAATCGTGTATGTCTTATGACCTTCACATTGTATTTGAAGTATGTAAATGCATAGTTAACTGGTTGCTTCACACAACATTTTCAACAAGTCATTGGGTAATCTGTATACACGAAACCACCAGATAGCTGGTTATACACAATACCTACAATATATTGTCAATGAACAAGACTGTTGAATAAGTATTCTTTTAATATTTTACTGATTTTCAATTCCTTACTTGGTATGATTGATCTATCTATATTTTACACATACATTATTTTTATAGTTCACTGGACAGTGAGTTTAAAAGTAAATGTTCTAGTAGCTGATCCATTTACTAATTGTATGGCAGCTTTTACCAAAGATAGGAACTGTAAGTATAGTAAATAGTATCATAACTAAATAAGAAATTCAGCAATTTTAAATTTTTTGTATTTTAGTCTTTATTTAGATCCCAACAGAAAAGGAATTAACTCAAGGAAAATAGTCTTTTTTACATAATGCCACATTCGAGAACTTCCACTAGCAGGAATTTTAGTGTAAAATTAATGTATAAGTCTTCCAGCCATGATGTAACAAAAATAAAGATAAAAGGCCCTGTGTGAAATTAATAGAAACCACTGTAAACATCAACATGGCCATAACTTTGAACCAAAATGTATATTAAACAAGTATGAGTGTACTATGAACCAGGAACCGAGCATGACACCATTGTTGCCATCTTTGAATTGTTACATATTTCAAAAATCAAAGTCTGTCAATCTATGTACAATTAGCCAAGGAACAAGTACGCCTAGTTCCTTTTCGATCATACTTGAATTGGTCGTGCCTTTGTTTTTTTTTTCTGAAGTGTCGTTTCCAACAAGAACGAGATGAGTAGCGCTTGTATTGGACCCAGTCCCTGGTTCAAAAAGTATGTTGCATCATAAGGTCTGTGATTGAATAAAGTGGTCTGGTTTCAATTCCCCGCTTTTTTGTGACAAGGAGTAGGGTTGCCTGGCCAACCTCATGGGTTTTCTCTTGAGTCCTTCATTTTTCCCCCCACTGCTAAATACCCCTACGTGCAAGCGAATTATTGAAATAAAACCGAATTATATGTTAGCCCCAAAATGAAATGGTTTGTGTCGTTAAACCACATTTTTTTTATCCAATATAGTGTTTGTATTTGATCCTTCTATATCGGAGCCAATCTACAATCATTCATCTGCTTCTACAAGTGAGATTATAGCAGCAGTGTTTATACCTCATGTAAATAAAGATCAGGGAAGGTTATCATGGCAGAAATCATCTCAACTATATTTCATCAACTGTGATCAACAGCTATCTACAATAGATTATGAAGATAATGTGGAGGGTAATACATCAGCAGTAAGTCACATACAGATATTATATCTTTTCTTGTTGTCCCCCGTCTTTGGAAGAAAGCAGGGGACTATTAAAATGGGTTCGTTCGTCCGTCTGTCTGTCTGTCTGTCCGTCACACTTTTTGGGACACAATAACTCTCCTTCTAATTGACCTAGAATGTTCAAACTTGGTGTAGGTGTTTATTAGGTCAATGCCTTGATGGAGTTCGAAGATGAGCATTTTCGGCTTAGGGTAAGCAAAGATAAGCAATTTGATTGGTTGATGCTTTGGGACACGAAAACTTTAGTTCCAATTAAGTGAGAGTGATGAAACTTGGTGTATAGTTTCATTACATCAATACCTTGACTAAGTTCGATGATGAGCATTTTCTGCTCAGGGTAAGCAGAGCGATAAGCAATTTGATTGGCCGAGACTTTGGAACACAATAACCCTCCTTCTAATTGAGCTAGAATGTTCAAACTTGGTGTAGGGGTTTATGAGGTCAATGCCTTGATGGAGTGCGAAGATCAGCATTTTCTGCTTAGGGTAAGCAGAGATAAGCAATTTGATTGGTTGATGCTTTGGAACACGATAACTTTAGTTCTAATTAAGTGAGAGTGATGAAACTTGGTGTATAGTTTCATTACATCAATACCTTGACTAAGTTCGATGATGAGAATTTTCTGCTTAGGCTAACGAGCAATAAGCATTTTGATTGGACAAACTCTTCTTCTAATTGAGGTAGAATGTTTAAACTTGATGTAGATGTTCGTCTTGACTGAGTTCAATGATTAACATATCGAGCTAAAGCTAAGCAGAGATAAGCAATTTCCTGCTTTGGGACAAGATAACTTTGATTCTATCTGATAGAGAGTGATGAAACTTAGTATATAGTTGATAATCAGTTTGATTGCTTGATACTTTGGAAAAAAATAGATGTGCGATTAATTAATATGTGTCATCTATTTATTTGGGGATTTCGGCGGGGGACATCAGCCTCACTGTTGGCTTGTTTTATTCATGATGGCAGGTTGGTTGGATGAGTGGTCTAACACGTGCACTTTACATTATAAGTTTGTCATTGAATCCTGTGGCATAGTTTCGATCCCAATCTTCTATGTGACAAATAGTAGGGTTATATGCCCAATCTCTTGAATTTTCTCTGGGTCCTCTGGTTTCCTCCCACTGCTTAAGACCCCTATGTGAAAGCGAATTATTGAAATAAAATTGTACCATATATTAGTCCCGAAATAACCTAGTTTGTGTTGAGTGAAAGTTAATACCGTTACCATTTCTCTCTCTCTATTTATGAGAGTTGTTTTTTTTTAAGCAACATGCATGTATATTATAATCTGAACTTATTGTTAGCTTAGCAGTAAGCAGGTAAAGTCTAGATGTGGATGTAACACATTTCTTAGAAATTATTTAAGAGAATACCTGTAAAACTTGATTAAACTTAAGAAGAGATAAATTCAGAAACTTGAAATGTGATGTTTGTCAGTATAGTACACTATGCATTGACAAAATAAAAACAAAAACCTTCCTAATTATTAAGATTATCTGAGAGCCAGAAAAAGGTTTTTGTTTGGCCTAATGAGTTACATTTTCTATATTTTTTTTCCAGTTATCAGTTTCTATATTTTTTTTCCAGTTATCAGTATCTCAAAATCTACCCAAAACACCATTTGGACAACTTATGGCTGAGAAATCTATTAGAGATCCTCTCAGAGATACAACCTCTACAGAGTTTTTACATAAGAATGATAGTTTTGTTAAAGAGGTCAGTATGAAAATAAGTAGTTTAATGTAGAAAATGGCTGCTTTATGTTCAGTAAGTCTCTGATGCCAGTTATTTTAGTTCAAATCTGGCAATTTTTGTTTTGCTTTTCATGTAAATATTAATTTGCTAATACCTGCAGATTACAAGAATAATTAAAGATTTAAAGGATATATATTTAACATAATCTAATTCCGAAATAATTTCAACCCTGTGAAACTCCACATTCAAATCATTTTATCTTTAAAACAAGTTACAAGCTATTTTGACATTTTGAGGGGAGCGGTCATTTCCACTGTAAACGAAGCATTGCGCCAGTTAAGTTAATGGTGGGTGTCATGCACAGGGCAGGGTAGGCTTACTCCCAAGCACAGAGAAACCAATCTGGTTATGTATTAATGTTGCCCTTAGTACAGGTTTTTGATTTGAAAGACCTTACAATACATGTATATAGTATGTTGTTATTTTTTGGTTCACAACACTCCCTTATACTTATATATTATACAGATATTGATGACATCACCACATGTACAACCACCAGTAACAGTTTTATGTAAAACATTTCTACAATCTTTACTTATATCTAATAAATCTAAAAAGTAAGTATTGTATTTTAAATTTCTTTAGTTAAGTTGGGTTGAATACAGGAAGAATTTTGTTGGGGCAGTGGCAGTTATTGAAACAATCTTCAAACTTGTCACATCAGTATTTACAGGCCTCTAATCCGAAAACTATGTGAGGGGAAAAAATTATGAGATGAAGCATGTACAGTACTGACAACTTAGCTAGTGGTGGGTTGTATGTTACCTTGCCTGGCAAACTATGTTTTGTAATAATGAAAATTATTTAGATTGTGTCTAATTTTAAAGGTCTTCAGAGGATATGGAAGATGAAGATGATACAATAGAAAAAGAAACTAATCAAGATTTTGATTCTGATGAGGAAATGACAGAGAAGGTTAAAAAAACAGTTGAACCTAAAGTAGACGGTAGTAATACTAATGAAAAACAGGACATTGAAAAAGAGGCATCAGCCATTGCAGAAGTTATGACAGAACAATTCTTGTGGTTTAATATAAGCTAAATGAAAATAAGGTATCGCTATAAAAACTCTTATTTGATAAACAGTGGTAGCCTAGTCTGTGACATTGAGTTATCTGTGTAAATATAGTAAAGGCTACAGATGCAAATCATTGTTAATGGAATGATACTTCGGACATTCAGAGAATAATATTATTAAAGATTTAAATGGCACCCCCTCTTTGATCTGGAACAATGGATTGTATATGTTGATTTGTTTTGTAGAATGACAAACTGTCATTGTTCAAAATTTTGTATCCTTATATAAAGGCAATGTTGAGCTATAATCAACTGTCATATCTGTGTTGACACAGAAAGCAAAAAAATTAAACTAAATTAATTGACTTCAGCTTAAATTATTTAATCATATAGAGTTTGTCTTATCACTAATATAAATAACAAATCAGTTCAACTCAAGTCAGTATCTAAATCAAAGGGGAGAGGGCTGTTCTTTAATTTGTTTATGTATAAATTTGTAAAATAAAAATAAACATGAAAATATGTTTTATGTATTTATCTGATTTCTGACATACATCAATCATAAAATTGTGGGAAGTCATACAGTCAAGGAGTTAATATCCTTTAAAAGCTGCTGATCGTCAATTGTATTTTTAGGACAATAATATATAATTATCAGGGCCTGATCCATGTACCCAAATTAATTATTAATCCTTTAGTTTCAATAACAAAATATCAACACTAGAGAATCCTCAAGCTTAGATTTCTTTGGATTTAAAAGAGATTTTAGGGAGGATGATGATAGGTGTTTTGACCATATCATACCTTTGTAAATACAGAATAGAATCGATATATTTTGGAATTGAAGTTCCTTTGAGGCTCAACTTTCAGATAACTGTAGTTGGCAAAAGATTACTCATCCCTGAAATAATTATCAGAGACTTTTAATAGTATACATACCAATTTACAAATAATTTAAACATTTGCTATAATTAAAAACTGATATAATGAAAGCCATCTGGTAGATCATGAAAAGTTTTATTTTTCCCAGGACTCACATCATCAACACGTGACAATTGGTCGTGGGGGCGTATCTAAAACTGTCAATGTCAATGCATATAATTTTTATACACCCACAAACAAACAAAAACAGGGGCGACGACAATATACATCCGCATGAATATGTGAGCGGATAAAAATCAGCTTGTGGTCTCTCAAGAGGTCACAATTATCTGATTTAAAAAAAAAAACGTTTGAATATATCACTGTTACACCCTGACAAATTGGCCACCCTTCGTACGCAAATAGTGTAAAAATATAGTATCAAGGTTGTGGACCCTCTAGAGGCCACAATTTTTATCCGATTTTAATGAAATAATTGTGCATATCCGAATGTAACTTCCAGTTTTTAATAAATTGTTTAAATATACCACCCTTACACATCAATGAAGGTTGAGTTCGAATTTCATAAAAATCTGACCGAAACTGCCAGACAAAATGGTCGTTCCTTGTATGCAAATAGTGTAAAAGTATGTAATACCAAAGTTGTGGGCACACTAGAAGTCACAAATTTTATTCGATTTTTATGAAACTTGAAATGTATGATTATAATCCCAAAATCTTCATTCCTTGTGATATTTGCGCATATCGGACTGTAACTTCCTGGATTGTTCGAAAAATCATGTTCTTAGCTTGTGGACCCTCTAGAAGTCACAATTTTTATCTAATTTAAAAAAAAACATTACAACGTTACACCCTAATGACAGTTGAGTTCCATTTTCGTGAAAATCGGACCAAAACTGCCTGACAAAATGGCGGCTCCTTGTACACAAATTGTGTAAAAGTATGTCATTCCAAGGTTGTCCATATCTTGCCTGGCAACTGCTGTTTTATTCATATTCTTAGATAAGTTAGAATTTTGGAGAGTGTTAACATGTTTTTTTCATAATAAACTGTTTGTTTGAAAATCACACCAAATCAAACATGGTTTAACTTTCTTCACAGATGTTCATAATAAATTATGCAGTGGATGTGGATTTAAAGACTAATTTAATGTTATGCCATACTTCACTCCATTTGATTTTTTCACCATGATTCAAGTTTTGGATGTAGAATTGTTCTTGAGTCAGAAATTGAGAATTGTACATACGTTCTGTTTCCTCTTCACTGGGAAGATATTTTTCAAAATTATTTGATATCCTTCTGATATCTTTTTCTGCGTCAAAATGTGCAAACTGTTTATCAATAAAGGGAACAATCATGTTGTATTTGTCAATCTTCTCATTGATGTCATTAACTTTTAATTTATACTTTTTAATCTGGGACTGCCATTTTTTCTCCATTTCCTCTGCTGGTTCCTGTCTAAGCTTCTTGGCTAAAATTGATAATTTTTGACGGGCATCTTTCATTTCATTCCTGAAAAGAAATTGTATTGAGAAATAATCATGATTTATTAAAATTGAGCTGTTAAAACTAGGTTGCATAACAAAAAACCCTCCGAAAACATGAGTCCATAAAGATTATTGCATTGTGCTAGTTTTACAAGTAATAATCATAAAGATCTGAGTAAAAAAATTGTACAAGGTTTCTGCAAAGTCACCAAGGGCAACAACTGTCTTTGTCTTAAAGTCTTTGAGCGTGATTTGAGCGCTATAGGAGCGTAGACTACAATATTGTAAAATGTATGATCAACTGAAATTTCATTGATCTGTACTGCTCCCTGTTTAAACAGGCCCATGGCCATTCTGTTTCATAATTAAATAATCATCCGGAGTATGTATGAGTGAGGATTAATCCGTAAGATATTTGATATTTTCCGACATGTAATTCATGCACAGTTACTTCAATATAATAAAACAAATTTTTTAAAGATCCGACAATAAGTTTTGCCTACATAGAGCGTCCACAGGGAATTGTTTTTTGGAACAAATGACAGAGGTATGGTAATATATGACCATATGTTACTTGTTTACCTTATTTCTGATTGTAAAGTAATCCACTCTGGTGTAAAGCCATTATTTATAAGTATTTTATTTAAATTATGTGTTTCAGTGTCAACCATGGGATTTCTGCCAACATATTCTAGAGGTTTGCCTGATCCACTTAAATTATCGAAATCTCCTTTATTCATAGATTCTTGTATTAAGTCTTCCACCACTCTTTCTATAGCATTACTGAAACATAGACAGGATATTGTCAAGTTGCAAAATACACCAACCACCAGCATAGTCGTCCATACTAGCTCTAAAAATAGTTCAATAAATCCAGCAGGGGAGGTTTAAAGCAAAACCTTGAACTCCCAAGCTTCAACAAATATGAATGGAAAGATAAATATACAAAACACATTAGAAATTAATGCTTTGAAAATTACAAAATCTCTGATAAGATTCTTCCTGATACCTCTATCAAAAACCCACTGAGTTTTAAGGATTCCATCAAGAACTCTGACCTGTATTGTCTTATTTCATAAATCTATAGTGTATATATTTGTGACTTGTTTGTTAAGGGGTGGCAGCAGCTACACTAGAGCTGCCACAGGGTTGAAATTTGTGTATACATCATGGGCAAATAGACCCGGGGGAGTGACTGAATTTTTGATATTAGTTACAGATGTCAGTCACATCATAAAGAACATAAATCCGTTTGATGAGCAAGTTTTAACCATGCTGTATGAAACTGACGATTATAAAGGTTAAATAATAAAATTGATTACTATCTGGTATTAAAATAAACTGATCAGATATTTCTGTGCTGTACCTTATTTTGATCTTTTTAGCATGTTTCTTATCTTGAACAACTAAAGCGGTCTCAGTTTCAGATGCTAAGTTTTGTATCCGATGCTCTTGAACATTGGCAGCAGCTTTCCACACTCTATATTGCTCATACTGTTTTTGTCTTTGACTGGGACTACCAAAACCAATTCCCTGGAAATAATACAGATTTGATCAATAAATTTAGGACTGATATTTTTTCAGAGTGTTAACAGTATGGTCTATATTTTTGGAGGTAATTTATTTTGGTTAAAAATTATTTCTGATTTGTCCTGCCTGATCATTCCTGGCTTGTATTGTCTTTGCTTCAACTTCACCAGACCTGGTCTTGACAAAATAGCTGCTATTGTGTATTTTTCTGTTATCTTTACTTGCTATCTTTCACACTAACCATGAGATTAACACGTTAATAGAAATGAACTGACGCGTTAAAACAATGTGACATTATATGCAAATTCGGACGGAAAGGAATCAAGATCTTTGGGTTATAAACATGTATTTCAAGTTTCATTGATCAAAATTGTGACCTCTAGAGGGTCCACAACCTTGATATACCATATTTTTACATTATTTGTGTACATGGGACGGCCATTCTGACTGGCAATTTTGGTTGGATTTTCACGAAATTCAAACTCAATCAACATTACGGTGACATATTCAAACGTTTTTTTTTAAAAATAGGATAATAATTGTGAACTCTAGAGGGACCACAAACTAAAAATGCCATTTTTCGTACAATCAGCTACACGCGCATGCAAATTATTTAAATAAAATTGAACCATATGTTAGTCCCAAAATGACCTAGTTTGTGTTGAGTGGACATTAAAGCATATTTCTCTCTCCCTCTCTCTCTCTCGTAAAATCAGGGGCCATAATTCAGGAAGTTGCGATCCGATATGAGCAAATATCGAAAGGAACCAATATCTTTTGGTCATAAACATGCATATCAAGTTTCATCAAAATCAGATGAAAATTGTTATCTCTAGAGTGTCCACTAGCTAAAAACGTGATTTATCGTACAATGAGGGGCCATAATCCATGAAGTTATGGTCAGATACATGCCAATATCGAAAGGAATCAAGATAGACCTATACTTCAAGTTTTGACAAAATTGGGTAAAAATTGTGACCTGTAGAGTGTCCACAAACAAATTGTGGACGGACAGACCGGCACGACAGCATAATTCGTCCACATAAATATGTGGGCATATGAAAATAATTAAATCCAGCAAAAGGTATAATATATCGAATGTTTTAGAAACGAAATCGTGAGGTACTAGCACAATACAATATCATTCCTTTGTTTGCCTCGGGGGATAATAAAGTAGATTGGATTTCAACTGGCTATATTGATATGATCACTAACCAACACCAATATATTATTTGAAATCTAATTAATAGTCTAATAAATAGTGGCTGTCATACCTCAAAAGATAGATACTGACGATGTTGTGGTGCTGTGTGTTTAATGTCATAAATATATTTATCTGGGTCATCTGGATCATCTTTTTCAAGTATTCCACCTTTCTTCGCTTCCTGAAATAAACAAATTGATATATCATACCGCTTAACCACATACGTATTATAGGGGCTACTGGCCTAATCCCTGCCTTTTGATCCAAAACAAATACCTACTCTTTCCCTAACCTTTTTTTATACACCCACAATGAAATGTCGTCGTATATTGTCGTTGCTTCCGTCCGTCGGTCCGCTGTCCACAAGCAATTATGGACTTTTAATTTGTACACAGTACACAGTATTTAAGATCGTGAGTCGAAGAAGCCCAATGGTTTTACACGATTTCCGATAATTACTGCCAGAGTTATGGTCCTTGATCACTCAAAAAAAAATATGCGACAATCCTTATTGACTCCCCGGACGACTTAGCTGCTGTAGGCGTATGTTTCGTTGCCTGGCAACCTATCTTTCATGGTTATTTTCAGGGATAATGGATAGGGGCAGCTCAAAATTATAAAGCCCTGTTTTTTCTCAATTTTCGGAACAAACTTTAGGATATTTTTCAGAATTTTCGAACAGATTCCCGAAACATCTTTTATGATTTTCAGAATTTTCGAACAGATTCCCGAAACATCTTTTATGATATTCTGATACCGTACATTGATCGAAAGCTCAGTTATCTTTCCAAATAAATATCCCAGTTCTATCTACGACTTGTATTCTGGAAATTGTGCCCAACACAATATAACCTATATATTGTATATATAATTGGTATGTCTTTGAAGAAAAAAGTCATAGAAAGATTGTAGTTAAGTCTTTTGAATGGACAATGATTCTAATTTTCATAATTCATAATTTCCCCACAAGCCTGAAATGGCAAGATCGTATTCTATTTTTTTGAGAGAGAGAGAGAGAGGATTTAACCTCCACTGGACACAAACTAGGTCATTTCGGGACTTACGTATCAATTTTATTTCATATTCTGCTTGTGCAAATGGGTCTTTAGCAGTGGGAGGAAACCGGAGGACCCAGAGAAAACCCACAAGGTTGGACAGGTGACCCTACTCCTTGTCACGCACATGCGGGAAATCAAAACCATGCCATTTGACTCAATGACAGACCTTATGACCCAACGTGCACACGTTTTAACCATTCGGCCATCCAACCCCCATGAATGGACGAGCTTTTATTATAGATATCACAATTCTTGGACAGAAAATAATACTGTATCAAATTTATAGATTTAAAAACACACTTCACACTAAGATACTCAGATAAGTAGCCTACTTAGGATTTTAGAATGCCAAAAATGTGATTACCAGAACGGATCTATAGGCCTCTTTTACTTGAGAAAACTTGCGAGGATCTGCAGTAGCGCAACCACTATCGGGGTGATATTTCTTTGCTAAGGTTAAATAGGCCTCTCTCAATTCACCGATATCACAGTCTGGGTCGACACCTAAAATCGTACAGGCATTGTTCACATCTGATTTTAACTTGACTTCAATACATAATGTTCTACTGGTTGAAAATGTTCGAAAGGAACAATTGTCATTTTGCAAGCTTTGGAATTTAGCACAAAAGTTCAGACCAATATTGTAAATAACTGATGCTTCAGTCTGTCTGTCTGTTACTTTACAACAATAATATCCAGCACATATTCGCTTCACAACCTGACGAAAGAAAGTCCTCTGGAAACTTGCCACTTGAATTGAATACATGACAATATAGTCTCTGAAAAAAGAGTTAAGAACATATGTTTAATATACTATTCAAAAAAAGTAGGGGATATTTGATTTTTAAGTGTTATTAAAGTCACCTAATGAAACTGACGAAGAAACAAATGACAAAATGAAATGAAGTTCACATTCATCGATTTATTTCAAATGATCGTTAGACTAGGTAAGGCACAGACTGACCATTATAGGGGTAAAATGATACCCGGGGTCAAACAGCAAAGTTACCACAGCATCACAACCAAGTCAGTAACGGGTAAATCCTCCTCTGTTTGCCAAACAAGCATTGATCCGACGTGGCATACTCCTAATGAGACGTCTAAGGTCATTTTGGTCCAGATTGTCCCATTCCTGTTGCAACGCAGCAGCAAGTTCTTGGACATTGGCAGGACGTTGTTGACGTTGACGTAACCTCTGTCCAAACATGTCCCAGATATGCTCGATGGGGGAGAGGTCGGGACTCAGTGCTGGCCAAGGTAATGTGGTGATGTTCTGTTGTTGGAGGTAACCTGTAACGATCCTGGCCCTGTGACATCTTGCGTTGTCATCCTGGAAGATGAAACGGCGGCCATGACGTCGTGCGAACGGCACAACATGGACTGCCAAGATGTTGTCCCGGTAGTACTGGCCTGTAACACGCCCTGCAACAACATGTAAAGCCGTTCTTCCAGCAACAGTGATGCCTCCCCACACCATAACAGAACCACCCCCAAATCGATCATGTCTGATGACGTTAACGTCTTGGAAGCGCTCGTTTCGACGACGCCACACCCTCCTACGTCTGTCCAAAAAATCAACAGTGAACCTTGACTCATCTGAAAACATCACATTGCTCCAGCGTCGATTATCCCAGTGTTGACGATCCCTACACCAACGACGTCTTGCCTGAATGTGATGATCTCTCAAACAAGGGATCACGCGAGGACGTCGGGCGCGAAGGTGACCCCTATGCAGTCGATTCCGAATCGTCTGGCCACTCACTCTCACACCAGTGTCTGTTTGAAGACGAGCGCTGATCTGATTTGCTGTGATGACACGATTTCTCAAGGCCAAGGTACGGATAAATCGATCCTGGGCTTGAGTTGTCGCCCTTGGTCGACTTGAGCGTGGTCTGTCCTGTACAGATTGTGTATCACGGTATCTGGACCATAGCCTGCTTATGGCAGACTGAGAAACATTCATCGTCCGCGCCACAACCGCCTGTGTTGTGCCGATCTGTAGCATGCCAAGGGCACGTAACCTTTCATTTTGGGTAAGCCGACGCATATCAAAATTTGTTTTCTGGTCACTAAAACAATTAAACTGATGTTTCCACCCTGGAATTCAATGCCACAATGACTGTATCATTCAAAGTCAGAGTCGTGCAAATCTTGGGTTGGACCCCCATGATGATCCCAAGCATCACCTGCATTCCATGCGGTAGCTATTGGTGCGTTTGGGCGTCATATGTAACTGGAAATGTTTCTTCTGTTAGGTTCTATAGTGACTTTTTTCGAAGTCATTTGCATATTTTAGTATTATGCCCCCAAAATCAAATATCCCCTACTTTTTTTGAATAGTATAGTTATGGCAGACTACTTCCAATCCATAAGAATTGCGTCCATCAATCTGTGGAAGTCCTACCTGTAGCCTATTTGGATTAATTAAGGGAAAAATAAATTGATTAACATTTTGGCTTATAAAAATTTCATTCCCCCTAATATCAATTATGAATGTAAGTATCCAAGGTAAAGAATTCATGTACCGGTACTTGGGTTAAGATCATAGGCGTACGGGGAAATTTTTGACTGAGGGGCGGTGGTGGTTGGTGCCCCAAAAATGTAGTTAGGTTCTTAGTATGTTACATAATAATAATCTCTTTTGCGATGAATAAGTTCGTAACTTCTAAATCATCAATAAAAGAGAACTAAATTTTATTTACTTGTAATATACACAACTAAAAACAGTTGTTTATGTAACTGTAACTCGTGGCTTATTCTACTCCAAACAATAGAGGGTACGAGTCTTAAGATTTCTATTTAATTGCCTAACTATAGACACTCTGAATTTAAATTCGCTGTTAAATTGGACACATTCAAGAACACAATATTTTTTTATACAACTTTTACAAAGTATAATTGTGTGCCCAAATTTTCCCAGCATTTGGTGCCCAAAATGGGGGGGCGGCCGCTCATACGCCTATGGTTAAGATAAGATAAGATGTTTATTGCATCAAAACGTCCATGAAGGACAGCATGCATACATTATGTATATTATACACTTAGACATAGTCATATACATTCAATAATACATATTACATTTGAATTCCATTTCTATTTCAAACCTGTTGGCTACTTGGGTTATGAATTCCATATCTATTTCCAGCCTGTACTTTTGATGACAGCACATAAAATATTGATAGTTCAGATTTTAACCAAGTTATGCATAATTCTAATTCAAATCAATCAGCATAAATACCGGTATACTGTAATTTACATGTAGTAGAGTGATACCGGTATAAGAATATGTCCACCAATTAAAGTAAATATTTGTTTAAAAGCTACGGTACTATACCATAACTTAAAGTAGGCCTACCTTAGCTATGTCTCTAACTTAATATCATCCAAAGTCTTTGACATTGAAAACATGAATTTTTTGTCAATTTAAGTCAACATTGATATTGCGACCTTAGCGGGAAAAGATGCGTTTCTGATAAGAAATATTTAAGACAAAATAAACATTTTACCATTGGTACACAAATCATGTAGGCTACCATAATGCGTATCAGCGCCATTTGTAGCAAGGGACTTGAAGAACGAGGCTAGACATATTCCACAAGTCATGTCAAACAGTGACGACATATTTAGGGGTGATGATTTTCCGTTTCAGAAAATAGCAAATTCCGTTTTAAGTATTTTTAATTCCGTTATTTTCCGTTTCTGAACTGACCATATTCCGTTTTTTCGAGATAAAATGTTATTTTATGAATAAATGAATAAAACATCTTAAAATGCCTTTTATTACAAAACGGATCATTTTAAACCAATGATAACAAATGTTGAATTGTGAATGACTTGTAATGTTCAATGACTAGTTATTCTTTAAACCTGTTTCCCGAATTAAATAACAGAAAATTACATCTTGTGAGCTCGTTTCATCTTTTTAGCAGACGAAGTCATGTTTCTCAGCTGCTAGGTGTAGTCGCGATTTATCCAGACATCTTCGTAGTTACTACCGTTTCTTCGAGAATAAGGGCTGGATTCACAAGGCTACGGTATATTTCTGATGTCACGTGGTTAATGCGGATAAACACGAGTCACGAGCCCGGCAGTAAAATAAGAAGTAAATGAAACGATTTTTACTTTTATGAAGTGACAGAAGTTTTTTTAAAGACATATATATACATTACAATGTTTAATTCAAGTTAAACTACAGAGTAATTTTATAATGGGATACATGAAAGACGGGTTTTCGTTTCGATTAAAATTATGATTCCTAAATGATGAAATGAAAGTAGCGAAATACTAAAATAGACAGTAACAAAACCACGCGATATCATTCAATATTTCCGATTTTTATGAATAAAAAGATAAAATACTTGGATAACTGCAAAATTATTTTGAGTTTGTGTTTAGTATCAGCAAATATCGGCTTTTCCGTCTTTTTCCGTGTGAGATTTCAAATTCCGTTTTGAGTGGACAATTCCGCGATTTCCGCGTTTTTTCCGCGATCACGGAAAATCATCACCCCTACATATTCTTATCTGGAGAGCATGCGCAATAAATACTATTGGTGTAGACAGGAATAACCAGATGCTGGAGATTGTTATTCGATTGAAATTTATACGCTAGAGTAAAAACGGAAACGATTGAATGTAAATCAGTTTACATTAGGCCCTTTTATTAGCATAGCCTACATTATTTAATATGCATTTGTGTCAATTTCTAGAAATAGGCTATTACTATTAGGCTAGCAATTTAGCTCCTTTAATCTTAGTTCAGCTCTGAACGTAGGTCTCATTACAGGTCGAGTGTAATGAGACCTACATTCAGAGCTGAACTACTTTAATCTTACCCGAGAAGGCCTAATGTGGTGGTACACGTCCTTGTTTTACACCTTTTGATTATTTATAGGCCTAGCTACAGTAATTGAGACTACAAATAAATACAACCCATGTCAAACATTTTATAATGATAGACTTGATTGTACTATGAAAACCTGGAAAACATCAGAAATTTACCGTTATTAATATTACACAACTTTTGTTTACAATTTGCAGACACTAGAGTGATCTTCCCCAACTTATCAGGATTCAGACTACTCATTTAGGGATCTCATGCCATCGAGGCCTGTACTATAACTTATCAAGGTTGAAGTTTTATAAACAGTAAACTTTATATTAAGAAGATTCAAACATGTCACGATTGTTTGTTCAAAATAGTTTGAAGGCCGGCAACTCGCACGATTTGTTTTTGACAATGCGGATCCAAATGTTGATCCTATTGTTGAAATGATAATTTGCTGAGGGGATTTCAAATCGTTAATATTCACCAAACTGGTAGTAAAAGTAACCGTTAAATTCTGTTAATATAATAATGAAAATACTTTCTTTTAATTTGTAAATATTTTATGAAATAAATTCCTTCAGCGGTGTTTTAGAATTAAATTTGCTAAAATTTTACACAGGCTAAATATTAGCCTGAAGATGGGTGTCATGCAGCTTCCGCTTCTGTCATTTCTTCCTTCCCCAATAAATTGTGAACTATTCTTCGTGGAATATTTATAAATGTTATGGGAATTTAATCAACTATTATCGCAAACTTAGCGTTACTGCCTGCTAACTCTGTGACTACAGACTGCCATCCGGGCATGTAATATTCGTTAGGCCTACTGGATAAAACAATTGTCTAAATATTATTTAAATTTGAAAAAAAAAAAGACAAAACAAAACAAATAAACCAAAATAAAAAAAAAAACAAACCAAAAAACTTTTGCTTAACACGTTTCCACTAGAAATAAACACCGAATCCACGGAAATTGTCATAATATATTTATGTAGTTAAATTACTTACATAAATACACGTATTCTGAAGAATATAAAGTCCGCTGGACATAGACAAGTAATTCTCACAACCCATTAACTTCAATGTTAAATCCATGATATTTCTTGCACCACAATATTTTTTTAAACATTCCGATGACCGCAATCTTTCTAACCCTAAACAGCCCAGTGTGCCACAATCATCTGATAAAATATAAGATAAGATTTTATTGTATCGAAACATCCATTGATTCGCAAAAAAATAATCAAAAACAACAAAACAAAGAAAAAAAAACCAATATAAAAAAAAAAAACAAAACAAACGCAGGCATCTGCATTTTCAAGAATGAAACAGAAGTAAGATCTAATGAGATGATGAATTATTGACGAAAAGGTTGATTGTGTGGAGATTTGATCAGACGATCACACCACGACAGTACTAGTACCGTTGTATGAAGAAGAATTGCGAAGGGTGTTGAATGTTTCGATTTACTCCCGTAGACCTGGTCAAAGGAATCTATGAGAAGTGACATCATAATATTAGTAGGCGCAAACCCTGGCAGAACATGGAAATTGAAACACTCTTCTTCGATTCAGTATTGTTTAATGGTCGAGAGCGAGACATTAAGTAATATATTGTAACAACATGAGGGCCGTGAGGCCCGAATGTTTTTATAATATATTACGCAATGTCTTAAGCTCGACACCATTAAACAACTTAAAATACAGACACTTGCACGTGCTTTGCAATGAAATACGTCACTCGAGTTCAATATTTTACCAAGTTACGCTTGGCACATAGCCCGTACGATTATTTGAAATAATGGTACTCCAACATCAAAGGATGACGTCACATCTGTATTTTAATTATTTTTAAATTGCCATTCAAAAGGGGAAAGTCAATACTAGTCTTAATCCATATGACAAGGATGTAGTTGTCTCCCTTCAGTTAAATCCTACACTTTTTTCTAAGTAAATATCATTTACCGATAAAGCAGCATGTATCTTCGCAGTATTTTGTTGAAAAACATGGCGCTTTAGAGAAAGACTAACTTTATCATTCCATGTATTAAAGGCATTAAATCGCTAATATTTGGTACCTAGAAATTGACACAAATGGGTCGCAACGCATATAATAATGTAATATGAATGTATATAAACTGATTTATACGTTTTATAGCTAGAATTGAGACTACAAATATAACCCATGTCAACCAATTTATTGTAATAGATATTATAAGGTATCAGTCGTTTCCATTTTACTCTAATTTCAAATCAGTTATGTCCGGCGAAATACGCCAGAAGTCTCAATCGAATGACATCCTTTAGCGTCTGGCTATTCCAGTCTACACGGATAGTATTTATTGGGATGACCAAGTGGTTTAGAATGCCGCCCTTCGACCTCTAGCTGGCCGATCACCTCTGGCGATTGTGGTTTCGATCCCTGGTTTGAGCGTATGTGGCATGGAGATAGGGGCACCTGCTCAACCTCGTGGATTTACTTCGGGTACTCCGGCTTCCTCCCACTGTGCGTGCGCTAAGATAATAAAAAAAAATATGATTTGTCTGCGATATCATCTTCGGTTGAACTGGACGTTAAACACTAAGAATAACAACAACAGATAAGAAAATGGCGTCACCGTTTGACATGACTTGTGGAGTATGTCTATCATCGTCCTTCGAGTCCCTTGTTACAAATGGCGCTGAAAAACATTATCGTGTACCAATCATAAAATATTATTTTTTCTTAAATTGGATATCAGGAGCTCAACTTTTCCCGGTAAGATCACAACATCAACGTCGATTTAAATTGACAAATACTTCGTGTTTTTAAAGTTAAAGACTCTGGATGATATTGAGTTAGAGACGTAGCTATATTAAACATTTTTTGTACTTAAAGTTTTTCTCAAATGCTGTTCATAATAGAATATGCATACAGCTGTTGATGTATTAACGTCAACTCTAAAAAAAAAAAGAAGAAAATATCTCGATGCTTTATATTTTATTAAAGGGACAATAACACTCTTGCTGGCTTGACAGCTCCAGAAAATATAAAATAGCCTTATTCTAAGTACTAGATGTGTTAAGTGTCCTACCTGTTGTGTAAATTATCCATTAAATCCTATTTTACTTGTCCAAAGGGTTCAAAAATATTTTTAAATCCAAGTCACATTTGAAAAGCTTTACGTCAGGCTTTTCAAATCATTTAGTTGAATTTTTCCAATTTTTAAAATTAGGTGTGTCAAGATGAAATTTGTATCATTAACTAATTGGAATATTGTAAAATAGTACAATTTGTTGACCAGAATAAAGATTGGGACATGTTATTCTGTTACAACAAGAGTGGTATTGAGCCTTTAAGCTGCCACAATCACGATTCGTGCTACGATTGAAATTGTGATTTTGATCGTGGAGTAATCGTGATGATCCTATCAGGTCTTACCATATATTTTGGTCAGTCGTAGCAATCGTGTTAATCGTATCGAACCGTATTCAAACGGATCTCAATAGGGAGAATCCTATCGTAACGCATTGCATAAGTGGAGTAAAATAACATTTTAAGGCACCGATGTGCTTGTACATTCCAGGATATGGATGGAATGGATTTGGGTATAATGTCTCGTTCATACAATAGTTCGGTTATTTTAAGACAAACACAAGGTAATTGTGTTTCTGAGGCACTATAATCACTGTCCCAAATATGTCCCACACAGAATTTTAGAATGGTTACATCTGCGTTCATGGTTTCGGGATCAGATCGACCGTCAAACGATATAAAATTCTAGTGGACCGAATCTTCGATATTGAAAAATCCGCCCTCACCGGGTTCAAGGAGTTCAAGCAATAATTTGCTCTATGTAATGGCGTATTGAAATTTGGTGGTTTCCGGGGCCAACTCTTTGATAATATGCCCACGAGAGCCATGTGAGAAAGGAACATATTTTAAATATGTAAAAACTGGCTCTATTTAGGTCAGGGCTTAAATGTTTGATAATTTGGCGTGTCTATATTTGTTTTTAATGTGCTTTCGTGTAAAATTAATTATATTTATTTTCTTGATCAAAGTATTAAAAGAAGGGTTGGGTGGGTGGGTGGGTGGGGGGAGGGGCAATTACGCGGCCCGATGTTTCTTTAAATTCCCAAAGCAGATTAAGTACAGTACTACACGAACTTGTACATATTCAACCCAGAAACATGTATTCATTGTGGAATATTACAGAAAGAATTTTGTCAATTGGGTTCACACAGGTCAGTGGGTAAAACATCAATTAAGCATTACTTATTATATTAGTGAATTACAGACCAGTCCCTTCTGACTACACAACCGTCTATATCAGTATCGACAACATTCATTATATACGGTCACTCTATATATAATTGGATTTCTCTGTAACGGTAAATAAACATATTTAGTTTATAAGTTGACAGATACACTGGTTGGCTTAATGGAAAACTAATTTTAGTTTTGTCAGCGGTGGATTAAATCTAGGTATCGCCTCCAAGGAATTTATAAACATATTGATAAACTTTAGTTTAGACAGGGGTGAGTTAAATCTAAAAGCATCGTCCCCAAGGAATTTATAAACATATTAATAAACCTACCTATTCGCTCTGTAACCCATTTTCTCTATTAAAGGAACACTTACGGAATATAGTGAATAACATTCGTTAATTTGGACCGAAAGACGCATGCAAACGTTTATCCTAGTAATTGAACTGGAATATACAGGTCACAATTCTATGGAATACAATTACTGCTTATTACTGAGCGACGTATCGACTATAGCTTTTCTAGTAATTATCAAGTAATGATAATATTTGAGATGACTGAATGACTGTTTTTTTAACGTCTGCTTCCATAAACGTCACATTGCAGACAAGACGTGGTAGAGCCGACGCTTCGACCTGGTGTGTTAAAATATGATTTTGCAATCTTTCCATTGACGACCTTAGGCCATGGACTGGTTTAGTGGGATATAACGAGACAATACATGTATATAACAAGAGCCCGGTGGCTGAAGGGGGGGGGGGGGGTCGCCACCCGAGCTGTGAATTTATGAGACCAAGTTTTTCTAGACCAGTTTTTTGCGTAGATTCCGAATCTGGGTGGTGATCAGGCGTTTGAGGGGGCATTTTCGAGATATATGGGGGTCCAATGTCTACAATTGGGGGCAATGTCATTATATTGACA